ACGTCAGTACAACTAACCTAAGAATCATCTAAGTATTTTAATTACAAGGATAACTTATGAACAGTCATTTGAAATCAGTACAAAGAAAGCAGTTCAGGAAAATTACAACTCATAATAGGTCACGGGAAATCAAAACCATATAAAAAAGTCTGTGTCGCTCTGGGTGGTTGGTTTTTGCTTTATCTTTTTTAGTAATTTCTTCATCTCTGGCATTCAAGGTTCCATTGTTTTGACACATACATATAATACACCTTGAAGCTGACAAGGTTTTATGTTATGTGCAGAGTGCAGAGCTATATGATTTGAAACAAGTCAGAGACAGAAAATAACTAATTGAATTATAGAATCATGGGCCATCCAGTCCAACCCCCTGCCAAGAAGCAAGAAATTTTCATTCAAAGCACCCCAGACAGATGGCTATCCAGCTTCTGTTTAAAAGCCTTCAAAGAAGGAGCAACCACTACAGTTCGGGGCAGAGAGTTCCACTGCCGAACAGCTCTCACAGTCAGGAAGTTCTTCCTAATGTCCAGATGGAATCTCCTTTCTTGTAGTTTGAAGCCACTTAGGTTCAATTATGCAGAGTGTGAAGTAAGGAAGGTCAGTTGGATGGTAAAAGTTCACAGTCGCAGATACTGAATCCACAGCTTTTCCAGTTACAGATCTCAAGTAATAAGCACAGAAAGGATTTCTCCATTCTAGCCAACTGTGTTAAATATCTGTAGAAAAGATTTTTGCTAAAACTGGGACAGGAAAGCAGTTTCCAGAACATCTCCCAAGGAGCATCTGAGGCAGGCCCTTTCTCCTGAAGCTCTGCGCCATCCAGCATCATCCATTCCCCTTTCTCTACAAAGGATGTGATTGAACAATTGCTTTTCCCAGCAGCATCAGAATGTCCAGTCAGCTTTGTTCCCGACTTATGCTTCGGGGACGAGAGAGAGGGCCTTTTCAGGGATCGCCATCCCATAGAACTCCATCCCTGGCAAGATTAGATCAGCCTCCTCCCTCCTGTCCTTCAGAAAGATGGTAAAAACTTGGTTGTGTGATCAAGCCTTTGGAACAACGCAATAAGGTAACAATAGGAATCTCATCCTGCTGATTTGAGATGGTTTAAATAATTCATTTTAAAAGTGGAGATGACTGGTTTTAATGTTTATATATGCTGTTTATATATTTTATGTTCCGGCATTGAATATTAGCCGTCTTTATGTTATGATCTGCCATAGTCCCCTTCGGGGTGAGAAGGGCAGAATATAAATGTTTTAAATAAATAAATACTAGATCAAGCCCCAGTAAAGGAGCATTCTAGTCAGTATCACAGCTGGGGAATCAGCTTTGCTCCTCCTGTGCCTTCCCCAACCAAGAAAAACAAAGGCAGAGCACAATAGATGGAGACACCTTCTGAAGGAGCATTTCACAGATGAGGAAAATGCAGCTAAAACAAATGATGATGATGATGACGACGACGACGACAACGACAACGACGACGACAACAACAACAACAACAACAACAACAACAATTTCTTCGTAAATCACCTTATGTTCCCAAGAGGCTCTGGGCGGTTTCCAATGTATAAGACAAACATTCAATGCCAACGAGAAGACATAAACAAAATTACAAAACAAAGAGAAGAAGTGCCAGCTGCAAAGTTTCACTATTATCTCCCTTCTCCTTTCTCTGTGGCCTCTTCCACCCAGCTGCATAAAATCCACATTGAACTGGAGTATATGACAGTGGACTCAAACTGTGAAGCAGATATTGTGGATTATCTGCCTTGGTATTCTGGGTTATATGGGCCCTGAGAGAAGGACGAAAGTCTCACTGAAGATTAGAGAGGGAGACATGGTAGACAAATCTGGACTGAAGCCCAAAGGTTCTCCATCCCTATCTTAAAGCTATGGGGAGATTTTTTTGTGAATTAAAGTAGTTTGATTCTGTGAGTCAAAGCATTACTGGTCTACATGGAACAGATTTGATTCTATACAATGAACCCTGACATTTTTACATCTGATGATATCTGGTCATAGCACTTGGGATTATACAACACTTGCAAATCATGCCACTATGGTCACATACTATGACTCTGATTTGATCCCACCTTGTTCTTACAGAAGTCAGCAGTGCTGGACTAATATTTAAGGAAAGCTTCTGATTCTTTACATTGGATCTGCTTCAGTTGCCTGAGAAGTAATAGAAGGCTTAGCTATTGCAATGTATGCTTCTTTTTGAATCAGACTGCCTGATAAGGGAATTAAAGTCATGAAATCGCTGTGACACAGAAAGACAAGAATAGCAAAATCCTAAAATAATCTTCCGCTCCAACTGTAGGGTCTACATATGTCGGGCATTTCAAAGATGCCAGGGTTGTTTTTCCACTCTTTTCCTGTGAAAGAAAATATTATTGAGAGAATGTGTTGTTGAAGGCTTTCATGGCCAGAATCACTGGGTTGCTGTGAGTTTTCCTGTATGGCCATGTTCCAGAAGCATTCTCTCCTGATGTTTCACCCACATCTATGGCAGGCATCCTCAGAGATTGTGAGGTCTGTATTTTTTTTATCATGTCAGGAGCGACTTGAGAAACTGCAAGTCGCTTCTGGTATGAGAGAATTGGCCGTCTGCAAGGACGTTGCCCAGGGGACACCCGGATGATTTGGATGTTTTTATCATCCTTGAGGTCTGTTGAAAACTAGTTTCCAACCCATTATCGCGAGAGCTGAGGTTCATATTATGCTCTTCATTTTTTTCTTCCCTGTATTCTTTCATATCAATAAACAATATCACAAGATGTAATTCTAACAAGTAGCTCCTTAAGTACAGTTTAAACTCTATTTAAACAGTTCCAGGCTGTGTCCTCTTTCTAAGCATAGAAAAAGCCCAGAACTTTTGATGCATGAGGCAGAAAATCCAATTGGTTCCCCTCTCCACACAGTAGTAGTAATACAATAATAATCTATGTAATTGATCATTCGCTGTTCTTTAAAAGGTACATCTAGATATGTTGCTTAAAGTGGGGCAGCTCATCCTGCCTAATCGGAGAGCTGGCTCTTCTTGGGGAAAAACATTATGGAATCACTGGGAACACTAGCAACTGGGCTCACTGCAGGGGGCTGAGAGGAAAAATTCAACCACCAACTAGAAATCCAGCAAAAGAGTAGAGAAAGCACCACTGTGTCACAAGCTCCACATAAATCAGAAAATGAAATCACAGCTGGATACTGAATACAGTTCTGGGCTCAAGGAGGATGTTGTAAAAAGGGATAAAAGGGGCAGCAAAAACACTAATAAAGGGAATTACACATTTCCTTATTCATTAAGTCAAGCCCCTGAGCTTAACTAGTGAAAACAGTCGTGTTTTAAAGCAAAACTCTTCTTATCTGTGCATACAGCAGGTTTTCCCAAGACATTATGCCATCTAAGAAAACCAAAGGGTTGTGGCCAGTCTCAGGCTAGTTCTACACTGCCCTAAAATCCAGTTTCAGAATTTGTTTAGCTGCATTGATCTGGATTATAGGGTAGTGTAGACAGTTCAATGTAATGAATCCACATTCTAAAACTGGATTACAGGGCATTGTAGACCCAGCCTCATTTCTTACAGAAAAGCCAAGCGGACTGGCAAGATTTTTCTTCAATATGGGCAATAAATAGCATCCTCTTCAATACCTTTTCTCCACTGGATGTAACTACAGTAGTCAAGTCAAGTCAACTTTCTTTATATCCCGTCCCATCTCCCATTAGGGACTCGGAGCAGCGTACAACATAAATGGCAGCCATTCGGTGCCATAGAATTCACAGTGAAAATACAAATACATAATAAATTAAATGCAAATAATTAATCTTAACTAAACATGAAAACAAATCAATGAAACAAACATAACAAAAACGATTAAAAGTAGGTTAAAAACCCAATTAGTAAATTAAAACCATAGGCTTTTACAGGGGTTAGGGTCACAGAACCCACACACAAATTGGAAAAAATGCGAAGTTTTAAAAATGCGTGAATCATAGGTAATTAGTTACATGATAAGGCACGAGTAATTAATCACCAATCTAACCTAACCTTACCAGAATCAGCATTTTTGAGTGAAATGTCAGGGCTTATCAGGATCTTTCCTTGGGAAGGCTATATTGCCCGCTCTTCCTACATTGGAAACATATATATGCAGCCTAATTATCTGGTTCTCTCTTAATACTCACATAGGGTATTGCTTATCTAATCAGAGGTTTTGCTCTTATCTTTTGCTTTAGCACTCCAGCATCTAGTGCATACTCCACTTTTAGGATACACCTTACTACCTGCCATCAGATGTCCATAATAGACTAATTCATAGGGTGACCTAAGGTCGTTTTTGTGGGTTTTGTTGGCATTCTTTAAAAGATTATTTGGAATTCCTCCCAGATTTGAACTTCAAACAAACTTCTCCCTTACTTTACAGAAGGCAGAAAATGAATTTTAGGCTCTGTATTCCACTATCTACATGGGTACACACATTTGTTTAACGACATATAAACATTTTAAAGATATATGCACAAATTGAGATGTTGCCAACTAAAATTTCTCTGGCCTATAACAATCTGCCAACATCAACAGCATCACAAATACTGAACTTGGATTCTTCTATATGCCAGTAGTTTCCTACAACCACTCACTGAAATATAAGAACCGGCCAGAGGTTCAAGATTCATTTTCACAACAAAGCTATAAAAGTTGTTTGCTACAACACTGAGTTATGACTGGATGTAGCATTAGAATTCAGAAGAATTGGTGCTTGTCCCTATATTCACCATTTAATGGAGTTCAGTTTCACATGCAGTACACTGAACAATAGATGAATGTCTCCACCTTTCTGCCATAAAAGAGCTGGTGACATAGAAAATGATTCACAGAGGTACATCAAAGACTTTTATAATTCAATGACACCTCATTTGTTCTTTGCCATATAAAAACATTCAGCTGTTTTTTATGAAACAGAGTGCAATAAAAATATGTTATATAAAGCATTACCTTGACAGTTTTATCCATAGACACAGAAAGCAACAAATGGCTCCACTTCTGAAGAGGGCACCATCGGACTGCATTAACTGGACCACTGTGTTCAGACATCTGAAACACCAGATTCTTCGGAATTTCACTAACTCCATATTTGGATCCTAAATATGGCATCATATACTGAGAAACTTGAATGGATATTCTATCTCCTGCCGTCTCCGTTTTGGTTGCACAACTTGCACTATCTCTACAGTCTTCGTCTTCATGAGGAACTGAACTATTACTTTGTCTCATTCTTTTAGGAATATATGGCCTCAGGCCCTGTATAGGAACATCATTGTCATCACGGGTCCTCTTTGATGAAAAGCTCTCATTTCCAGAAAGCACATTAGGTTCCAATATTGAGGTTCCTGGTTGTTTATTATTCTTACTTGTTATTTTCAAATCAACAGGACAAAATTTCCTGGGATAATCTGTTAGCTGAAGCTTTTTATTGCTCTGTAGATTCTGTAGAAAAATATCTTCATTACAGATGTTCTTTCTGGAGCCGCCAGTTCCTTTCATGGAATGGGCTTTATTCTCACAAACTGTATATAGTTCACTACAGAACTGAACGGCACTCTCTGCAGAATCTGTCAAATTTGTTTCACTAATGGCAGCATCTTCAGACTTCTCAGCCTCTGATTCAGAATCTGAATCATCATAAGCAACAAGTGAGTTCATCAAGTCAGCTATAATACAAATTTCCAACTTCTGTCTTTAGAGTCTTCGCAAACTAGAATCTAGTTCATTTCATATGCAGTAAACCACATCTACAATGAAAGTAATGAACAAATTAGGAAAATATGAATTACTTGACCTTTTAATTAAATAAATATTTTTTTCTGACTTTCCTTTTTTACTATTTACAAACAGCTATACAACTTAACCTCAGAATTCAGTAGTGAAACGTTAAGCCTTTTAACAAGTGACTGTCAGGCATTTCACTAATATTGAGTTTACAATACAAGGCTGTAAATATTAACCTGACCTACTAACCTTCCCAAGAAATGCCTATTATTTTCACAAAGTACTTAGCCTACTCTGGCAAACAATGCTGGTGCTCGACCAAACTATAGAACTTGATATAACTTTGGGCCTGAAAAAACAGTGGGTGAATCTACACTGTAGTGCTTTGCCCCCAAACAAAAGCTGCAGGCTGTTACTGAGCCAGGAGTGAATAGCAGAAACACTGACCTGTGAAATTCTGACATACAGATGATCCTTATCCACAAGTTTTTTTTGCTTGTTTGTTTGTTTATTTGTTTGTTTGCCGGGGGGGGGGGGCTTGATCCAAAAAGCAACGATTTTTATTTAAGGGGTATGATTTAATTGTGCCATTGCATATAATGGGCCTTGAGAATCCATATATTTATTGGGTATCCTAAGAACAAACTCCAGCTGCTACTATGGGCCCTTCCACACAGCCATATAACCCAGAGGCAGAAAATCCCACAATATCTGCTTTGAACTGGGTTATCTGAGTCCTCACTGCAATAAATCCCAGTTCAAAGCGGAAAATGGAAGATTTTCTTCAGCTGTGGAAGGGGCACAAAGGCCCACTATGGGCCCTTCCACACAGCCATATAACCCAGAATATCAAGGCACAAAATCCCGCAATATGTGCTTTGAATGGGTTATGAGTCCACACTGCCATATATTCCGATTCAAAGCAGATAATGTGGGATTTTTATTCAGTTGTGTGGAAGGGGTCTATATTTACTTAGCGACAAACCTGTATTTATGTGGGTGAAGTATGTCTGCATGTTCCTGTTAATTTAGCTTTCTAAATTGCAAATACATGGCCATGTGTGACCAGAAAAGAATAAAGTAACTCAAATCAAAGTGCATGAACTGACCATCAATATAAAGGAAGCAGAAAAGTTAATTCAAGACTATGTTGGGAAACGTTATCATTGTTTTAATGGCAACCAGATACAAATACGGCTTATTTATTTATTTATTTATTTTGCATCAAAAGCATTGCATATATTCGTATAAACCCGATAAAAACAGGAGGGCAGGTGGCTAAATATCTTTTGACCAAAAACGGACAACAGCAATGGCATTGTCTGTAGCCTCCAACAATTCTTCCTCTGTACATGAGGCAGGGCAAAGTGGACAAGCATACAGATGCGGAGTTATCTGTTCTGCTCCACAGTCACATAAGGTGTGGAATTCTTTTAAGTAGTGCTATTTTACCAGGTTGTCTTTTGATCTGCCCACTCCACTTCCGAGTCTGTTCAGGGACTTCCAAGTTGCTCATTCAGATGTGGCTAAGTCTCCGTTTAAGCACATGGTCAATTCCATCTGCAATACATAACTATTAAAAATATTTTTGCCATGAAACAGCAAAACTGGGCGCATCTGCACTGCACAATCAATGCAGTTTGGCATCACTTTATCTGTTGTATAATTGTGGGAGTCTTGCAAGGTCTTTAGCTTTCTCTGCCCAAGCGTGCATTTACCCAAGGGTGTATTTACAGCAGGAATGGGCAAACTTGGGCCCTCCAGGTGATTTGGACTTCAACTCCCACAATTCCTAACAGCCTCAGGCCCTTTCCTTTTCCCCCTCAGCAGCGGCTGAGGGGGGAAAGGAAGGGGCCTGAGGCTGTTAGGAATTATGGGAGTTGAAGTCCAAATCACCTGGAGGGCCCAAGTTTGCCCATGTCTCATCTACACTGTAGAACTAATGCAGTTTGACATCACTTTAATACCATGGCTCAATGCTATGGAATCCTGGGGGTTGTAGTTGCACCAAGCATTTAACTCAGCGGTCCTCAACCTGGGGTCCCCAGATGTTTTTGGCCTACAACTTCCAGAAATCCCAGCTAGTTTACCAGCTGTTAGGATTTCTGGGAGTTGAAGGCCAAAAAAATCTGGGGACCCCAGGTTGACAACCACTGACATTGCTTTTCCTGCCAAAATTTGCTGGGAATCCATCCAACTACAGCTCCCAGGATTCCACAACATTGAGCCATGGCATTTTTATTTATTTGTCGTGTCAGTGCAACCAGTCGATTATATTACATTTCTAACAGAACAAAGCAAAAAAACAGACAAAATACAAAATTTGTGAGTTTGGTAGTTGATTAAATGTCCTTTGACCAGTATCTGGCCAATTGGAGTGCTTCTGGTGTTGCTGCAAGAAGGTCCTCCATTGTGCATGTGGCAGGGCTCAGGTTGCATTGCAGCAGGTGGTCAGTGGTTTGCTCTTCTCCACACTCGCATGTCGTGGATTCCACTTTGTAGCCCCATTTCTGAAGGTTGGCTCTGCATCTTGTGGTGCCAGAGCGCAGTCTGTTCAGCGCCTTCCAAGTCGCCCAGTCTTCTGTGTGCCCAGGGGAGTCTCTCATTTGGTATCAGCCATTGATTGAGGTTCTGGGTTTGAGCCTGCCACTTTTGGCCTCTCGCTTGCTGAGGTGTTCCAGTGTCTCTCTGTAGAGCTTAGAAAACTATTTCTTGATTTCAGTCATTGATGTGCTGGCTGATATCCAAACGGGTGATGGGTCGGAGATGTCACTGCTTGGTCCTTTCACTATTGGTTGCTACTTCCTGGTGGATGTCAGGTGGTACAATACCGGCTAAACAGTCCTCTGTGTGCCCAGGGAGGAGTCTCTCATTTGGTATCAGCCATTGGTTGAGGTTCTGGGTTTGAGCCTGCCGCTTTTGGACTCTCGCTTGCTGAGGTGTTCCAGCGAGTGTCTCTGTAGATCTTAGAAAACTATTTCTTGATTTAAGTCATTGATGTTGGCTGATATCCAAACGGGTGATGGGTCGGAGATGTCACTGCTTGGTCCTTTCACTATTGGTTGCTACTTCCTGGTGGATGTCAGGTGGTACAATACCGGCTAAACAGTCCTCTGTGTGCCCAGGGAGGAGTCTCTCATTTGGTATCAGCCATTGGTTGAGGTTCTGGGTTTGAGCCTGCCACTTTTGGACTCTCGCTTGCTGAGGTGTTCCGGCGAGTGTCTCTGTAGATCTTAGAAAACTATGGCATGAAAGTGGTGCAAAATCGCACTAATTCTACAGTGTAGATAGCTGGGAATTCATCCAACTACAGCTCCCAGGAGTCCACAACATTGAGCCATGGCATGAAAGTGGTGCAAAACCGCACCCTTGGAATACTCCAACTCACACAGGGCCTCAGAAGCACCTCTTACCTGTGGAGACGACTGAATATGAACCTTAACATAACAGAAGCAGAAAACGAATGCTGCTGCGTGTATGAGCTAGGAGGTGGGGGACTCATTTCACGGTAACACTGACGCAACTCGTCTCTGGCATGAGAATAGTGGGTCCATCCCTCATAGAGGTCCCCCCGGAAACTCAGCCGATGTCTTACAGTTCCCTCTCACGCACCGCCTTCCCCTATGACTTACTATTGCAGAATGAGTTCCTTCGTGCCGCAGATGTGAGCTGTGGTCTGACTGACTGTCCTCTCCTTGTCGTCGTCGTTATCGGTTCCGGGTGAGGAATTTGTTTCCCGGTCGGAGGGAGAGGGGTGACGCACCGGCTCTGCCTGACTGGCTGCTGATGCAATGGGATCACGCTTTGCCTGAGAGGAGCGCTTGGCTGTGCTGCTGGCAGGTGAGGCTTTGGGGCCAAATGGAGGGGTTGATGGGGGTGATGAAGGCCGCAAAGCTCAGTGTGTCAAGAGGAGTAGAGTAAGAATGAGGGAAGACACCACAGTCCCACTCTGTTCTGTTTTGGCCAGGCCTCGCCTGGAATCAGGCTGTGTCCTGTTCTGGAAGGTGATCATAGGTTAGGAAGCCAAGCCCAAGGAGGAAGGGCTGAAGGAGCTGGGCATGTTTATCTTTGAGAGGATTGGGAAGTGACATGAGAGCCATGTTTAAATACCTGAAAGGATGTCACATTGAGGATTGAGGGGGAAAGCTAGTTTTCTGCAACTCTGGAGACTAGGCGCAATAATAATAATAATAATAAAACTTTATTTATCTACCGGCCCAGTGTATTTGTCCGAACGGATCTCCCTCTACATCCCATCTCGAAATTTAAGATCGTCTGGGGAGGCCCTGCTCTCGACTCCGCCACTATCACAAGTGAGGTTGGCGGGGACGAGGAGCAGGGCCTTCTCAGTGGTGGCCCCTCACTTGTGGAACTCACTCCCCGGGGAGATTAGATCAGCGACCTCCCTTTTGGCGTTCAGGAAAAAACTGAAGACCTGGATATGGGACCAAGCTTTTGGACATTCTGGCAGCTGAGGGAAGATCTGACGATAAACATGGGCAAATGGAATGGAATGGATATACGGAACTCTGAACACTGAGCATGAGATTGTTTTGCTATTTTATTATGTACTAATGTTTTTAACTGGTTAACTGTTTAAATCATTTTTAGGTATTGTTTGTTTATTGATTCAGGCATCAAATTGTGCCGTTGTTTGTAAGCCGCCCTGAGTCCCCCCTCGGGGGTGAGAAGGGCGGGGTATAAGTAATTGAAATAAATCTCCCCGAGGGGACTCAAAGCGGTTCCCAAGTAACATCACAAAACATACAGAGTAAAAACAACAAAACCATAAGATTAGCAAACAAAATATAAGCCTAAAAATTGTCGCCATAACACACATATATTAAAAGTAATCCTGCCTGTTCCAGGCAATTAAAAATTTAAAAGGCCGGGCCAAGATTTGTGCAAGCCCCAAAATTCTAGGAGGCCCGGGAATTAAGTGCAATGCTATGGCAGGCAACAATAATATTAGGTAAGGGTCTGTGGCTTTTCATTCCAGGGCCAATTAGAGGAAAGAATCTGGGTAACTGGTAGGAAGAATAAGGCCGGATTAGACAATGTGTGGGGCTGAGTTAGAACTGGTCATTTTCAAAGGCTTGTTGAAGTTTTCAAGTTCTTACGAAAGGAGGGAAGGGATGGGGCCTGTCTTATTTCCCTTGGAAGGTCATTCCAGAAACGGGGGGCCACCACTGAAAAGGCCCTCTCTCTCGTCCCCACCAACGGCGCTTGAGACAGTACTGGGACCAAGAGGAGAGCCTCCCCAGAAGATCCTAGAGCTCGTGCTGGTTCATAGAAGGAGATGCAATTGCAATGGATTCAGATTCCACCTAAACATGCAGAAGAACTTTCTGACAGTAAGAGCTTTTCAGCAGTGGAATAAATGATCAAGGATCTGGAGAACAAGCCCTATGAGGAGTGGCTTAAAGAGCTGCATGTGTTTAGAGAATGCTCATGTATAAATATGTGAGAGGAAGTCATAGGGAGGAGGGAGCAAGCTTGTTTTATTTATTATTATTTACTTTATTTGTATACTGCCCCTCTCAGCCTTGCGGCAATTCGAGGCGGTTTACAAGGCAAAATTCAGTGCCACAAATACAATTTAAAACATTAACATCAATAAAATCATAACTACAGCAATAAAAACATAAGTCAGTAAATCCTCAATAAAAACATTGTCCAATTCCATCGTATAGTTGTTACGTTTTCCTATGTCCATTACTCAATATTTGCAAATGCTTGCTCGAACAGCAAGTTTTCTGCTGCCCTGGAGACTAGGACGTAGAACAGTGGCTTCAAACTACAAGAAAGGAGATTCCATCTGAACATTAGGAAGAATTTCCTGACTGTGAGAGCCATTCAGTAGCGGAACTCTCTGCCCCGGAGTATGGTGGAGGCTTTTCAACAGAGGCTGGATGGCCATCTGTCAGTGGTGCTTTGAATGCAATTTTCCTGCTTCTTGGCAGGGGGTTGGACTGGATAGCCCATGAGGTCTCTTCCAACTCTATGATTCTATGAATAGACTCCCTCGGATTCGGCTGGAGTCTCCTACTCTCGAAGTTTTTAAGCAGAGGCTGGATGGCTATCTTTTGGGGGTTCTTTGCTTTTTTTCCTGCATGGCAGGGGGCTGGACTGGGTGGCCCTTGTGACCTCTTTCAACTCTATGAGTATATACCTGGCATGGGGAAACTTCAGCCCTCCACGTGTTTTGGACTTCAACTCCAACAATGGCTTCAAACTACAAGAAAGGAGTTTCCACCTGAACATTAGGAAGAACTTCCTAACTGTGAGATCTGTTCAGCAGTGGAACTCTCTGCCCTGGAGTGTGGTGGAGGCTCCTTCTTTGGAGGCTTTTAAACAGAGGCTGAGTGACCATCTGTCGGAGGTGCTTTCATTTCGACGTTCCTGCTTCTTGACGGGTTTGGACTGGATGACCCACGAGGTCTCTTCCAACTCAATGATTCTGTGATTCCTAATGAGTCTGTGTGTGAGACCAAGAAAGAGAGGGAAAGCATCTTAATTCAGGATTCTAATAATGAGTTATTTATACAACCATGTTTGGCCATGTGAAAAGGAGGAATTGACTCGTTTGCTTTTAATAAGTAAATAGAAAGGGTATTCCAGCATACATACTTTGTCTTTCCTTTTTTCATATGGCTACATTCATGTAAAGTAGTACTATCACTGCAGATGATGAGAACACAATGGCTCGATTAAAGTCTCTGGGTTCGACACTAGAGGTGAAATTTGCTCCATAGACATTGTGGTTAATAATGCATAGAATCATAGAGCTGGAAAGGACCCCATGAACCATAGAGCCCAACCCATCTCCAGCTAGAACAGTGGCTCTCAACCTGTGTGTCCCCAGGTGTTCTGGCCTACAACTCCAGTTTACAAACTGTTAGGATTTCAGGGAGTTAAAGGCCAAAACATCTGGGAACCCACAGGTTGAGAACCACTGAGCTAGAGTATTCCCAGCAGGTAGCTGTTCAGCATCTCCCCACCCCACCGCACCCGACCCCACCCCCAATCACAAATAAGCTCCTGGTAGGTAGTGACATAGTCTGAATTCCAGACTGTTTCTCCAGAAAATGAGAGGTAGAAAGAGCTATAAGTAGGGCATATGAAAAACGGCTTAAGTAGATCAAAATCGTTGTCCATATCATCATATGCTATCACTTGCCTTCCAAGTGTAGGTTCCAAGTGTAGGTTCTTGGCGGTGGGTCTGTAAGTGACTGCAGAGACCTATTCTTTATCTGCATGTTTTTTTGCAGTGAGAGCATCGATTTCCAGATGTAATGCAGTCCCGACAAGGGTTGACTCGATGTGCCTTCCTCTTGACACGTTTCTGCCTTTTGTGCTTCTTCAGCTGACCTCAGTTAGAATCTTTGAGGACCAGGGCTTTCCAGTTCTCCATGTCTATGCCACAGTTTTTAAGGTTAACTTTAAGCCCATATTTAAATCTCTTTTGCTGTCCACCAATGTTCCATTTTTGGTTCTTGAGTTGAGAGTATAGTAACTGCGTTGGGGACAGTGATCGGGCATTCAGACAATGTGGCCAGTCCAGCAAAGTTGATGGTAGAGGATCATCACTTCAGTGCTGATTGTCTTTGTCCATATAGTCTAGTCCTACTGATATAGGCTTTCTAAAATATCAAGCAGAGATCTTACCAGTGCAGTACCTATCTGGTGTTTTGAGATGGATTTAAACAACTGATTTAAAGTAGATGTAACTGTTTTTAGTGTTTGTGTATATTTATAGTTATTTTATGTTCCGGCATAGAATGCTTGCTGTTTATATGCTGTGCTCCACCCTGAGTCTCCTTTGGGTGAGAAGGGAGGAATATAAATGTTTTAAATAAATAAATAATAGTAAATTATTATTTTATAACGAAGTGCTTTAAGGAAGTGAACCTGGGAGCCTTTGTGTGCTAAGCATGTCCTCTGTTGCTTACATACACCTATCCTTACATACAACTTTCCTTGCGTAGTCACTGATATTTCCTCTGCTTCTGTTTTACAAAATGGATTGACTTTGCCAAGTTTTTCAAGCTCACCCAAAACCAAGGGTCAAGATGGGGTGAGAGATGTCCAGTTATAGTTTCCATAGTTGTACACTTAGATTTTTAATGGCATAACATGTCAGTGAAACATTACATTTGCCAAAATTAAATAACCGTTCATTCTGCAAAGAGGGGAAGAGCCATTAAAGACTGGGTTTTCAGCTGCAAATTACTAGGTTTAAAATCTTTCTTTTGTACACAACTGCTAGGATGAACCACTCTCTCTCAGAATTAGTCACAGAATCATAGAAGGGGAGCTTTGGGCCATTAGGTCCAACACTCTACTCAATGTACGGTAAGGTCGCTAGAGCAGGCATGGGCAAACTTTGGCCCTCCAGGTGTTTTGGACTTCAACTCCCACAGTTCCTAACAGCCTACCTAACAGCTGTCTCTCTGGAAATCTTCTATATTGATATTCATGCAGCAAAAGCCTTGCATAATAAGATTTCCATGAGACTCATGGCTCCTCAACATGTCAGTGGTGTTCTATATCAGCTTAAAATAATTGGGGCTATTCTTTTGTGCTTCAGATTTGACTGTTTATTGGGCAATTTGATATCAGTATTTGTTGGTTTGTAATTGTGTTATAGAGGAGATTAAAAATTCAGTGAAAAGTGGAATGATTCCTTTTGCTAGAAGGAAAATGCTAATTTGCTGCCCTGTTTTAGCTTGGGAAAGTGAGCATCTGCAAAATGTGATGGCTTCTTTCATTGATAAGCTTCCAGACTTCTAGGTTATCTAAACTGTGTATGTTTTAAAAATTAACCTGTGAGTTGTTCAGCAATGAACTAAATTAGCTATGGGAGGATGCAGACTTTTAGTCCTTGTAAATTTTCAAGAATAGTCTAAAATGTACCAGATTTTGATTTCTCTGACACACTGTCATGCTTTATAACAAAATCTGGGTCTTTAAATGCAGATCGGGGTTTAGTTCTTTTTAGGCTGTGATTAATTTTAATTGAGTTGTCATTGAAACAGTGAGTTGTCCTTAATTATTATTGTGATACTTACATATTGAAAGACAATGAAAGGGTCCAAAAGCCTATATCATTTTATCAAGTTGTAGGGAAACCAATTTTACAAGCACAGCAGGAATTAAAAATGGCAAGTATATCCTGTTTCTTCCTGAGTGGAAAACCAGACATTGTATAAGTAAGTTTATCATTTCTCATTTTTGTTGAAGAGGTAAAATGTTATTAAAAATGATTGGCAGGAAGGTTTTTAAAATGACTGAAATTAGTCCCTGTCGGAATGGATTTTCAGTAGGAAAATACTGGTGTTGAAGTCATTACATACAGTTTTTTTGCTTAAACTTAATTGACTGCATCAAAGCGTTCAGCACTATAATGGGGTCACAGAGATAACTGGTACAGAGTTCTCAAAGCCTACAGTAGAACATTGTGAAGGTTTGAATGTTGAACAGGAATAAGTAATGAATAGTTCATAAAGTTTATTAGGGAGGAATGCAGTTACAATATTTTAGCTGTGTAGCAATGTCAGAACTGGAGCAGAGAACTAATAAGGAAGCACAGCAGCTCAGACAGATATTACTTCTGCCCTATGATATGACAACACAGAGATAGGCAGAGCTATGCAAAAGTGTTCAGTAGAGTTTCAGGGAAAGTAGTTTATGCAGCAGGAAGTTTAGTAGGCTGTATTATTATAAAATAAATAAAATAAAATACTTAAACAATATTATGAGGATGTTGAAACCTGCCAAATGAATGGAAAGACTCCCCCACCACCACACAACATCCAGAGTGCAGCTTCCCAGTACTTTTGCTTTTCTCACAGTCCCACTAAAAAAGGTAACAATAAGTGCTCTTTTTGGAGGAACACTAAAGAAAAACGTATTTTGACATTCTGGAGTGGTAGAGGCCAACAGAAGATCTAGGGGAATTTAGCCTTTACCTTTGCCCCCTTTTTGTGTAAGTGCAATAAAAAACTATGTCTAGATGAAATGTGCTGTTCATAGACATAATATTTAAACAGTATTGTTGTATCTCAGGCTAAAATTCACCTTGCTCTCTCTGACAAACCAGCCAAACTTATGAAGAAAGAAGTTTATTGTGAGGTTTCAAACAAATCAGAATATAAGCAGTAAAAAGTCAATAGTACAAGGTAAAAATCCAATAGATTCCCTTTGAGTCAAAGCAGGAAACTTGAAGCAAGAAGCAGCATAAAATCCAGGAAATAGCATGAGGTTACATGAAGCAGGCTTTCTTTCCCAAGGTCCAAGGCCCAGAGCAGGAGACAACGCGAGCCATTTTTGCAAAGTTGAAACTGACACTGAATCAGCTCCCAAGCAGCTTACTTATAGGTAAAACATCAAAACATTGAACATTAAACAGACAGCTAACAAGCAGTTTTCCCACCAACGGATGGGCTCAAGACTTGGCCGCAATTCGTAAACTCCTTCTTAACACCTGCGGCCCAGTCTGACCTTCACCAGCTGTTTTATCAGCCACATTCCGTTCCTGTGATAACAATGGTTTCTCTCTAGCTACAGACTGTGGCTGAGAAAACTGAGAAATCTGAAATCCCACACCTGCATCTGTATTCCCATTCCCATCATGCTGTTGCTGCTGAACCACAACAAGTATGAAGCAAATGCATTTGTAAAGTACTGGAATCAAAAAGAAATTAATACATTTTTAAACTGAGTCTAGATGACCATCTGCCTGGAGTGCTTTGAGTGTGTGTGTTCGTGTATGGCAGGATGGGGTTGGTCTGAATGGCCCTTGTGGCGTCTTCCAACTCTTATGTATCTATTGTTCTGTGAACCCTGGTCTCCGGAGTCATAGTCCAATACTCAAAACTACTACATCATGCTATCATAGTGGGTCTTACATTTTGGAGTACCAAGTCTGAAGTAGCATTGGATTGAAAAGATGTGAGGAGAAAGGCTAGAGAACCTCTGGCTGAGATAGGAAACAGGTTTGTAAAATAGCTTGACCAGGCCTTTTCTCTAAGTGTCTTGCCTAATTGTTTCAGGTCATTAGCTCTGTTATGTAATATCCTATGACTCTAGGAGTTTCTTTTTTTAAAAGCTTGGTATTTAACAGTAAAACACTACTGGTCTTAACACAAATCTGTGCTAGATATTAACCTTTTTCAGATTCTTGGTTTTTGTAATGTTCAGGTTATTTTCTAGACATAATAGTCTATTTGCTTGTGTAATGTTTGAATGATGTACATTTATAAAAACAGAACATTAAAACCTTTATGTTTTTCTGTCTTCTAGAGTCCTTCAGGCCGTTTTCAAGTTTCTTAATAAAAGAAACATTTGCTGTAAATACAAAAGATTCTCAACACTCCAGAAAATGGCAAACGTTCAGATTGGTGATTTTTGCTCTCTTAATCCACTGGAACTTTTTCAACAAGTAACTGCACAAGGAGAAAAAGTCAGGTCATTAAAGGCTGAGAAAGCAGCAAAGGTAAACCTCAGAAAATAGTAAAGTAATATTAATAATTTGAATCTTCACTTCACTTCACTTTATTTCTTAATTAGTCGCTCTCCACCAAGGTGCTCCGAGCGACTTACAATTTAAAATAGCATTTCACAATATAAAAACATTCAACATAAAAACATTCAACAGTGACTATTTGGCAAATTAGATCTGATTACTTAAATTTACAACCAAACAGCCAAGTCTTGAGCGCTTTTACAAAAGGTCGCAACTCCGACATTGCTCTAATATATGGAGGCAATTAGTTCCTCCATATATTATATATTGTCATTAGAATTGCTGTTTAATCTTCTAGGGTTTCAGTATTTTTCCGTAGCATTTAATTATACAGTCTTAGTGGAAAGAGTATTTAATGTCTTAAATCTTAAATATAAAACACAAGCATTTTCCAATTTTGGCAATATCCTCTCATCAAATGTATAATTTAGATATTCCTTCATTTGCTATAGATCAAGGTAGTCCTTTCCACTAATGGAAGGCATTTTGGTGTTCATGGAAGAATCTGGGATCTTTCATAGAATCTCAGGTGGAAAAGGTGGAACAGATGATTTTCATCACTTCTCCTAGAGTTCATATTGGGAGGCAGCAAGGGGAGAAAGCAATTGTTAAAAGGATATTTCTTTTTTTCCCAAGAATTTCCATAATTGATTGAAATCTCATTTCAGTCTAAGGTTTTGTTTCCTTTCTCAATATGTGATTTTTCAAATTCTTCTATGGTATTACATTATATTTTACAGAATACCATAAGCAGAAAGGCAGGTGCAAGCCCCAGTAGACTTAAAAACTTTATTTTCATAAATGGAGGGATAGCAGGGGAGGCAATAGAGATGGGTGAGAATTTAGAAATGTATTTATTTACTTATTTACTACATTTATATCCCACCCTTCTCACCCCAAAAGAATGAGCCTGTGCAGCCTTGCGAAAAGGCGGCAGTTTGATGCCATTCACATACGTACATACAGTAAAAATAGATATATACATTAAAACAAAAAATCAGGAGCAATATTAAAACAGTTGTTAATGCACGGTATCCAGAGTCAAATCCAAGACAATTCCATTAGTCATTTCACAATTTCATATACTCATATTGCACTAACTTGCTAGCTGAATACTTGGTCCCATTACCAGGTTTTTACTTTCTTCCTGAAAGTCAGGAGGGGGGTGGGGGCTGCTCTGATTTCTCTGGGGAGGAAGTTCCATAGCTGAAGGGCCACAACTGAGAAGGCCCTGTCTCTCACCCCCACCAATAGCACCTGAGAAGGAGATGGGACCAATAGCAGGGCCTCTCCAGAAGATCATACCCTCCATGGTGGATCACAGAGGGAGATACCTTTGGACAGTTAAGTTGAGCCGGACCCGTTTAGGGCTTTATATGTTAAAGCCAGCATTATGCTTGGGGTTAATTTTGATGTTGGTTAACTGAAAGTCCTATAGCTTTGTCTTTAGGAAGAATTTGCTTACTATAAATAGAAAAAGGCAGGTGACTAGGATCAGGTTGCAAACAGCAGTATAGCTTCACTCCACCTTTCAGGTGACAACCTTGAACTTTTTCAGTTAAATCCCACTGAGCTCCTATGGGATAAGTAAATATTTGTATTCATTTTGCAGGTGGAAAAATTGAGTGGAGATCTTAAATGACATAATCAAGGTTACACAAGCAGGCTGTTTGATTTTAAGAATTAGCTGTTTCATTTCTCCTTTCTCTCTCCTTGGCCTTCAGTCTATATTTCATTAGAATTTATTTGATTTCAAGCAGGTTGAATAGTTCATCTTCTGTAAAATGTCTGCAAATAGTTAGAAAGCTGAAGCTTTGCAAGCTTTACTAACCTGAAGGCTGTTATATTCCCTCCCGTTCCCCCATATTTTACATCAGGATGAAATCGATGCAGCAGTTCAGTTATTGTTATCTTTAAAACTGAGTTATAAAACAGCAACGGGCGAAGACTATAAAGCAGGGTCCCCTCCGACAGAGTTTGCACCCATCAGTAATGGTCCAGGTGATGCTGAAGGTGATGATTTTGTTGACCCTTGGACAGTACAGACATCTAACGCAAAAGGAGTCGATTATGATAAACTTATTGGTATGTACTGCTCCATATGGTTTTTAAAAAACAATGATTATATCTTAATGCAGCGTTTTTATGTGACAGAACTTTATGGCTGTACAGATATTATTAGAATAATATTCAGTCACAACATTATGTTACATTTTAGATCCATAACATTTGGTTTTGATGAGGAGAGAGAATGATATGATGGGAAATTTAAGTGGAATATTTTTGCTTTTGTGATCATTAACATGCTAATTGTGGAACAGCTCGCCGCTAAAAATGGGGTTTTATTCTAAATAATGGTCACTCGATAAGTCTGATAATTTTTACTGAAATGTGAAGATGAAATATTTAGTATCAGGTAAAGAGCTTGGAATCGAATTAAAGAAAAAGACACATTTAATTATTGTACATTTGTCAGCATATCAGAGTTTACAGGCTATAATTTTTGGGGAGATAATTCCTGCACAGAGTTGGATCTAGATGTTGTCATACTCATAGGAGACCAGTTGATATCAGCCCTGTTAATCATAACCAGTTTGTCCTAATACTTTCACTGGATCTTGTTCAAGAGTGATTGAGCCAGAATTCAGCCCATGATGTTTTGTTAGTTGTATGGTACTCTTTATCTAGAAGTGTGTATAATCTTTCATTATTTTTTGTTCTTTTAGATCGATTTGGAAGCAGCAAAATTGATAAAGACCTCATCAATCGGATTGAGAGAATTACAGGGCACAAACCACACCACTTCTTACGCAGAGGCATTTTCTTTTCTCATAGGTTGGTACATTTTAGTAATTTTTAAAAATCTGAATGAACAAAAATTATTCTAATTTTTCTTACATTCTGTTATTCTGTTTTGTATTATCCAGCATATATATCTATAGAAGAAAGTAATAGCCATTTTGTGGAGAAAATAATAGGAAATTGTTATGCATTATGCTCTGTTTCAAAGACCATTTAGCAAAACTTTACAAAGTCATGTTATGCCATTTCAGTAGTAATGTTTTCATTGAAATGCATGACAAAAGATCTGAACTGTATTTTTCAAATTTATTTTCTCCCCTTTTCATTTATTCTGGCACTCATTTTGAAAAGCTTGCCGTATCTTTTTTCCCCCCTAGAGATATGAACCAAATTCTGGACACATATGAAAATAAGAAGCCATTTTACCTTTACACAGGCAGAGGTCCTTCTTCCGAGGCAATGCATGTTGGTCACCTTATCCCATTTATTTTTACAAAGTAAGTAACTTAAGGATAGTGGGTTTCTTGTTATTTCTTTTCAAAATTATGATAGTACGCTCTTTTGTCCCACCTTCCTGCTTGGAAAAAAAAATCTCTAGAGGTATGAGTGACTTCCCTACCACTGAACAAAGTGAAAAGGAAAACATTGGTTGAAAGAGGAAGCTATGCAAAATCAGACAAAAGAACCTTCCAAGAACAGAAATAGGATGTGATCCAAGTGGATGATGTAGGATTGCATTTAAAGGAATGTTGCTGTCTGAGTGAAGTTTATTTATTTGTCCTGTCAGAAGCAAATTGAAAATACAGTTATAATGTATAGAAAAACCACAAACAAAGTTAAAAACTTGGCATTATACTAAATTTTCTTTGACCAGAAGCTGGCCACTTTTGAGTTCCTCTGGTGTCACTGTAAGAGTGGAGTGGAGTAATAACTCGTATTTATCCCTCCTCCCCAAGTAAGCCTGCTTATAGTGGTTTTGTTGAGAGAGACATCAGGTCTACCACCTTAAAAGTGAATCCCCACCAAACTTTTAAATATATGCATAAGGATAGAAAGAGAACCCAAAATAGTAAGGTGTTGAAAGCAAAATAAATAAATAAATAGCATACATCCATCAGTTATTCTCAAGTAGATTCTTTGAATTATAGGAGATTTGTAAGTCAACCCTTGTGTAAAACACTTGTATAAAATCAATGATTAGAACCAACAGTGGGATTAAACTCTTTATTTCCAGATGCCTACTTAACTAGCATATCAGAAAGCAAAAAGTTGCCTTAGAAATGGTTATGCATCTTCTTCTTTGTAGATTAAAAAGTTTGAAGATACTTTTTTAACAGAAACCGGATCCCTGTGCAATGGGATGTAGTAACCTTGTGCCTGCTAGTTTCCATATTTCAAGAGCTCAAGATATGATGGAATATGCAAAACAGATGATATAGCTATGCCAGTCTTTGATCTGATTGAATAGACACCCCATTGCCAAGATTTCACACAAATAAAAACATTGACTGAGCTCAAAGGCCTACTTAAAATCATGTAAGGGGTGGCTTATACCAGCCCTGTGGATTTCCTTGTAGTTTGTACCAATATCAGCTTGACAACAGATATTTGGTATCATGGGTAGCCATTCAATTTTTCTCCCCCATATCCCTAATGTCTCTAGGAATAAATATGAAACAAAACACAAATGAGTAAGACAAGTGGAACTAACATTTTTAGTAAATTGAAACTCGAACCATCCGAGACCTACTTGCTTTTCAGAAAGCCTGTAAAACTTTTCTTTTCCGGCAAGCATTTGACGGATGAACAACCCGGACGATGCCTGTTCTCACCGCCTATTGTTTTGTTATTGTTATTTTAAAGCTAATTGTATTGTTTTAATCTGCTTCTGTAAACCGCTCCGAGCCAAATTGGGAGTAGCGGTGTACAAGATAGATAGATAGATAGATAGATAGATAGATAGATAGATAGATAGATAGATATTTGATTAAGTGGTTGCTGAAAGAAAACAATAACCTGCAGGAAAAATAAGGGATCCTTCTAGTTTTGTTTAATAGAAATTAAACACAAAATAAAGCTAGATGTTATCACTGCTGAAGGCACTATGTATCATAAGATAAATTTTCCGTTAAGCCGCAGTAGGAAATTACAGTCAGCCGTTCACGTTTGTGGGTTTAACTTTTATGGATTTGATCATTTTAGATTTGACCAATATGTTATTTCTAAGAATCTCTAGGTTTTATGGGGCAATTCTGGTCAGCTTCCATTGAACCAAAGAGCCCTGCTGAAAGACTGAGAGATTCCCACAGAAAAAAAAATTCTCTAAGTATTTACCTCAAGGTCACATACCTCAAACCCCTGTAAAAGTGTATTACAGTTCAACCACAGAAGATATAATAACAACAACAAAAATAAATAAATAAATAAACTTTTATAGACCGTCCCCTCTCCCGAGGGGACTTGGAGCAGTTTACACACATTCAATGCCCAAACAAATGCAAATTAAAGTAATACAACATAATACAAAATAATAACAATAGTGAGCTTATCACATAAATGATAAGCTTACCATTCACAGTGAGGTGTTAATTGGTGGTGCTGTTTTTCCTTGTGTTTTTAAGATAAAAGAAAAAGAGCAGTGTGCTGACCGAAAGCCACCATCATGCTGGTGCTTGACCACCATTGTGTCACTATGTTCTTCCTCTCCCATTTGCCCTGTACCTCCTGAAAATCAATTCCAAAGAGGTTCCCGGCCCTTCACAGCTTGTCATGGGGCTAAAGAGGTTGCTGCAAGGAGGAAGAGTTGCCACATCTTCCATTTCCACTGGCAGAAGATCCACCCATAGAGTTCACAATTTAGATTCAGTTCATTTTTTCCAAGACAGGAGGCAGAACTACTACCAAAATCAAACAACTACAGGTAGTCCCCAAGTTATGAACAAGATAGGTTTTGTAGGTTTGAAGGTTAATTTGAATTTGTATGTAACTTGGAAAAGGTACATTTTTAAGTGGAACTCCAACCATATCTATTGATCTATCTTTCTTTTTGTGGGTAGCATAGAGAAAGATTAACGCTGTTTGTGTCCCTGTTCAGAAGATTTCACCTCACTTTCTACCTCTGTGATAGTTGGATTTTGAAAATGTTGGCTTGTTGTGGAAACAGGCATTGATGAAAAAGCTTCTGTGGTGACACCTTTTCCCCATGATAACTCTTCCTGGAGTAAATTTCCCTTCTTAGTGGTAGATTAATCTCACTTACTGTTACCTCACCCCAATTCTAAACTATAGTCATTTGTACATTGGGGACTGCCATGTTTGTAACTTCGGGACCGCCTGTACATTACTTCCTTATGAAATATGTCCTGTGTCATATCATGTTACACTTTCCTGCTTGTTGATGCTCTGTCCTGCACAGAAGTAAAGGAATCTATAAGTGTCTCTGCAATTGGGAAAATGTTTCTCCAAAGGATCTCAGAACAATCATAAAATAAAATAATTTTAACTAGCATCATGGGTTTCCCAGGGAAATGCCATGTTGGCTAATGCACTGTAAAATGCTTAACTTAAACTGTTTCCTTTGTTTACCAGGTGGTTACAAGACGTGTTTAATGTTCCCTTAGTTGTCCAGTTGACTGACGATGAAAAGTATCTCTGGAAAGATCTTACAATTGAGAAAGCTTATCAGTACGCTATAGAAAACATCAAGGACATTATAGCCTGTGGATTTGATGTCAACAAAACCTTCATCTTTTCAGATCTCCATTATTTGGGGTAAGGTTCTCAAATTTCTTTGAAAGTGCATGATCAAAAGTCTTCTATTTTCTGTGATGTGAAGCCCTCCACAGTTTGAAGGACTTTTCTTACCAAATAGTTTCAGCAAGATAGCAAGATAATTGTACCTGTAAATTTATTACAGAAGTAATTTTACTATTGATAGTTCCAGCTTGTCTGCAGAGAACCACAAGCATTTTGATGCTGATTCGTTATTATTTTAAATTCCAGCAGAGGGTGCAAGGGTACAGCAACCCCTTGAGGTTATTTCAGCTTTAAAAGAAATAGCAATTTATCAAAAGGGAAACAGATCGTGAACTAATAAATCAAACTAATTGTCTGGCTAGTTACTGGAAAAATCGCCTTTAGTTTTCTAGAGTTTTTGAACATCAAGAGATTACAGCCTCAGATGTATAAAATAGAACTCTTTTCATGTGTGGCTTTACTTCTTAACAGTATCCATTTTTTTCTGATTACACTGATCTGATCTGAGAATAAGCCACGATGAGTGGCATACAATCACCACAGTCATTGTCATAATTTTATGTTAATTGTAATCAAGGAGTTGGTATGGTGTAGTGATTTGAGCATTGGGCTAGGGTTCAAAATCCTACTTAGCCATGAATCCCACTGGCTGATATTTGGCAAATCACATTCTCCCAACAAATTCCTTCTGAACAAATCTTACCAAGAAAACCCTGTAATAGGGTCGCCTTAGGTCCTCCACAGGTCTAAATGACGTGAAAGCACATAACAACATCAACAATCTGAGAGAGAGGCTGGACATTGTAAATCTGTATTAACAGAGGCCAGCTATGGAAAAAAATCATGGAAAAGGAAAAGAGCCATAAAGGGACTTGGGAAAGTTATTTGAAGGGACTGTGATTTAATCTACACTAAAAAACATATAGCATTGATATTACTTTAACAGCAATAGCTATGTCCTATAGAAATCTGGCATTTATAATGTTTTAACTCAAGGGGATGAAGTGCAATGGAGCTTGATGAAGAAGAGAATTCTAGTTATGGGTTAACAGACTAAAGATCCCAGGATTCCATGGATGCAGCCATGCAGTTAAAGTAGGAGTAAACTATCATAATTATATAGTGGTTTAATAGTTGGCACCCTGCTCAATGAATTGTTGATGGATTACTCAACATATAAGTAAATTTTTTATTTAATGGAACTACTCTAGTCAGTATTGACAACCAAATGTAGGCCTATGATTCACAAAATCCCCAAATTTTCCAGTCCCTATCCGTAAGATCCCCAGTTAAACCACTGAGCTGCTGAACTTGCTGACCAAAAGGTTGGTGGTTCAAATCCAGGGAGTGGAATGAGCTCCCGCTGTTAGCCCCAGCTTCTGCCAACTTAGCAGTTCAAAAACATGCAGATGTGAGTAGATCAATAGGTACCGCTTCTGCTGGAAGGTAATGGCACTCCATGCAGTCATGCCAGCCACATGACCTTGGAGGCGTCTACGGACAACGCTGATTCTTCAGCTTAGAAATGGAGATGAGCACCACCTCCCAGAGTCAGACACAAATAGACTTAATGTCAAGGGGAAATATTTACCTTTTATCCATAGCTTAATGGTTTAAAGTACATGCATCACATGAAAATTTGTTCTATTGCATATTCAATTTTCAGCTATATCTGCTTCACATTGTGCAGAGCTGTTACCAGTATCAATAGATCATTCCAAAGGGGGTCATTTAGGGCTAGGACCCCCATCAGTCACAGACAGCATGGGCAATGGTTGGTGATAACGGGAAATGCTGTCTAAAACACCCTGTTGGATGAGATTGATGCAGGAAATCCTGAGCTACACGGTCCCAATTTGAAGAAGGCAGTTTAATGTGTTCCTGGGAAAGGCACAGATAAGAAAGGCACAGTCATATAAATCAGCTTCACTTGCACATTTGTTCTCACTTTTAATTGGTAATAGATTTATCATTAATGTGCATTCTTTTTAAAACATTATTTGTTTTGTAACTAACATGTAATATAGTTTATTCTCCATGTGTTTGTAGCTAGCGTCTGAGCTGTTGTAGGCAGGTTTCCATAATCTTATCACTGTGGTGTTTATGGCTATTGTTTCTAATTAGCCCGGTGTATCTGAACAAATTGGTATTCACTCATATCAAGGTGACACAACAAGAGAAAGTGTGGCTTTGCTTCTGTGTGTTATTAAATTAAAGACTAGGAACACATTGGACATTTCATGTACTTGGTCTTACCTTTGTAGTGAAGTTATGTGTTCACAAATAATGTTTAGAGAACTTATGAAAAATGTAATAAAATGTTTCAGTTTCCTTTAAGCCTTTCATTCTGCATATAGGATGTCAAAAGTCCTTGCTGCTGCGGAGTTGAGTTGCATTATTCATTTGTCAGCAATCTCCAGCAAGACATTTTTCTCTCTCTCTAAACTTTATGTCATGACTCCTCTTCTCTCTGACCATTTGCTTTTGTTCACAGGTTGAGCCCAGGATTCTACAAGAACATTGTTAAAGTCCAGAAACATGTTACTTTCAACCAAGTGAAAGGAATTTTTGGTTTTACAGATAGTGACTGCATAGGTGAGTTCCTGAAACGTCTCAAGTGACTCATGAATAGAAATGAGTGGAAAGAAGAATCTAGTAGGCATTCTGTTTCAAACTGTACCAGAGAACTAGCACAGTGTAGAGGTTAGATTGTTGGACTAAGGTTGCATCTACACTGTAGACTTAATTCATTTTGACAGTACTTTAACCGCTATGGCTCAGTGGTATGGAATCCTGGGAGTTGTACGTTAATGAGGTACTAGCGTTAATTGGCAGAGAAGGCTAAATACCTTGTAAAACTACAGCTCTCAGGATTCCACAGCATTTGTGTGTGTGTGTGTCAGGAGCAACTTGAGAAACTGCAAGTCGGTTCTAATGTGAGAGAATTGGCCGCCTGCAAGGACATTGCCCAGCTGACGCCCAGATGTTTTGATGTTTTACCATCCTTTAGGAAGGCTTTTCTCATGTCCCTACATGGGGAGCTGGAGCTGACAGAGGGAGTTCATCCAAACTCTCCCCATATTCAAACCTCTGACCTATTGGTTCTCAGACCTGGCAACACAAGAGTTTAACCCACTGCACCACCTCCATAGCATTGAGCCATAGCAATTTAAGCGGTATCAAACTGCAATTATTTTCCACAGGTCTAAATGACTTGAAAGCATATAACAACATCAAAAATCTGAGAGAGAGGCTGGACATTGTAAATCCATATTAACAGAGGCCAGCTATGAAAAAAACTCATGGAAGAGGAAAAGAGCCATAAAGGGACTTGGAAAAGTTATTTGAAGGGACTGTGATTTAATCTACACTACACAAGTATAGCAGTTTGATATCATTTTAACAGCAATAGCTATGTCGTATGGAAACCTGGCACCTCCATAGCATTGAGCCATAGCGATTTAAGCGGTATCAAATTGCATTTATTCTACAGTATAGATGCACTCTTAGTCAATCTACATAAAAGCAACACACCAGGACTTTAAGGATCTAGGTTCCTGCCTCCATTAAAGCCTATGGTGACCTTTAGGCAGTCACTCTTTCTCAGCTGGATCTACCCCCACAATATTGGTTTGAACGTAAAATGGGGAGGAGAGCATGCATTCCTTGAAGCTATTGGATGTAAATAAAACTGGTACGTAAAAATGTAGCTTACTGGGTGATTTTGGACCACTCATGTACGTTTGATTTATTTGATAGCCTTCTTAGAAGAAATGTGAGATAAAAATATAAATAAATAAATGATTAAATTTTAGTTTTCTAAATTGATCAGTATCAGAAATAAACTGCTACTAATTTTCAAAGGCTGATACTGCAGTCCTAGGTATAAAAAGGTAAAGACATAGAGGCATCATAGGTTTTGATTTTAATCAGCTGATAAGGTAAAGGTTTCTCTTGGACATTAAGTCTAGTTGTGTCCGACGCTGGGGGTTGGTGCTCATCTCCATTTCTAAGGTGAAGAGCTGGCGTTGTTCGTAGACATCTCCTAGGTCATGTGGCCGGCATGACTGCATGGAGTGCCATTACCTTCCCACCAACGCGGTATCTATAGATCTACTCACATTTGCATGTTTTCAAACTGCTAGGTTGGCAGAAGCTGGGGCTAACAGCGGGAACTCACCCCAATTCCTGGATCTGAACCATTGACCTTTCGGTCAGCAAGTTCAGCAGCTCAGCGGTTTAACTGGGGGCTCCTAGGTATAGTTTTTGTATATTTATGCACTGCCTATCAAATACTCTGAAGAGCCCTTGTATTAGGCGTGGCATTTAATTCAATTAATTTTTATCATGCTTTTCTCCCAGTATGGGACCCAATTCAAGCCAACTTCAATCTGTTACTAGACAACTGAGAACAATATTAGACCAGTAGCATTAAGCAAGATTGGGTGAATTTCTTTAAAAAGGAATAAAAGGGGAGGAAAAAAGAAAAATCCCATCCTAAGTGACTATTTTGTGCCCTTTTAGGTAAAATCAGTTTTCCTGCAATTCAAGCAGCTCCATCCTTTAGCTCATCGTTTCCACATATCTTCAACAACAGGGAGAACATTCAGTGTCTGATCCCATGTGCAATTGATCAGGTACAGAACCTTTTTCTGAAAAATCTTTTAAATTGCTCCAGTTAAAAGCAAGAGTACATTATAAATACCAAAGCTAGGTATATTCTACATTTCTCTATTTGTGCTCAGAATATGTAAGTTTAACTACTTAGATAAGAAACCAAGTTCATGGAAGTGAGGGTTTCTATCCTGATTCTATCCTATAGTTGCCTGTGGTTCCCCAAAAAGTTTTTCTGGAGGTGCTCCTCCTAAAAAGTGCAGAATGAATGGGTACAAGGGCTGGTTGTGGGAAAGAAAGGGAAACACCTTCTCTGAACTTCCTTAAAATTTTAACTTAGGTTTTATGTCTAATTTTATTGTGAATTTTTGTTTTCCCTTTGCTCTGCCTTCCCGTGTTATTCGTGATGTTGAACTATAGCACCCAGAGAGTTTTCTGAGGCCAGAAATTACTAAAAAGGAAAGATTGGAAAGAAAAGATTTTTCTGAACTTCCATTCCATCATTTGAGGATCATAGTCCAAACTAGTAATATTTCATGTGGAATTTAACATTTTGCAAATAAGAACAGTAATTGACAGTTAAGCCAAGCCATCCATTTTCGTGACATAGAATTTGGCCTTTCCCACCAGAGTACACAATGTATTCACTTCCTGTTACTCATTCACCTTGCAGTGATCTTTAAGAAAGCATTTCAAAGGTTAGATCATTGATATTAGCAACCAGATATTTCTGTAAAACCTTGCAAACGTCACTGAACTAAGTAATCCCACAGTTATAAGTTATTTTTGTTCACTTTCCCACAAACTCATTTCTGATCGTTATTGTTATTGTTGTTTTTAGGATCCATATTTCAGAATGACGAGGGATGTGGCTCCTCGGATTGGATATCCCAAGCCAGCATTGCTCCATTCGGTCTTCTTTCCAGCCCTGCAGGGAGCACAAACAAAAATGAGTGCTAGTGACCCCAATTCCTCTATTTTTCTTACTGATACACCCAAACAAATTAAAACCAAGGTAATAATAACACTATAATAATGATGATATTAGCTTTATTTATAAACCTCCCTCTCTCCCCAAAGGGACTTAGGGTGGCTTACACAAACTAAAACAAAATAGAGATAAACAGCAGTAAAAAAAAACAATTTAAGCAATTAAAAATTCACAAATAACACAGTAATTATTAAAACAAACAATAAGTTCCATAAATAACGTAGTGAATGAATAAGACCAGCATGAAAAATGAACAGTAAAAATGTGGCTGTGCAGTGAGTTAAGGCAATGTATTATCAGTTAGTTAAGGCAGAATAGAAGCATAAGAAGTTGATAAAAGCTAATCATCCTCTTCTCTGAACGCCAGTGTACAGAGGTGTGTTTTTAATTGCTTCTTGAAGGAGAGGAGTGAGGAATCTGTTCTTACTTCCTGAGGGAGAGGGTGGTCACGAAAAAGGCCCCCTCTCTCATTCCCACAAAGCTTGAGTCGGGTGGGACCGAGAGCAGAGCCTCGTCCAGTGATTACAGTGTCCATGTAGGTTTCTATGCAGATATGTGGTTAGTTAAATAACCTGGATCCTAACCATTTAGGTCTTTATAGATAATAACCAGCACTTTGTATTTAGCCTGGAAGGTAATCGGCAGCCAGTGGAGCTGCCGTAACATGGGAGTTGTCTGCTTAATGCAGACATTTTGTCAGACTCTAGAAGGTCTTGGAGTTAAAATCAACTCACAATAATAAAACACTGGAGACAAGTGGTTTATTACTTCTTTCTACAATCCTAAAAAGACAGTTCTAAAGTGTCATGATATATACAGGTCAAACTCCCTGTATATATCAGCCCCAGCTCCCATCCGCCTCTAGTGACCAAACAGTGTGGCCACAGTTTGTTAACTGCAGTTTAAAATTCCCTCACAAAACGGATGTCTTATCTTCATTACCTTCCCCAACTGTACTCAGAGTCTCCCCCTCCTTCTTTATGGCAGAAAACCGAAGCAGCCAGTCCCAGGCTGATATGGTGATACTAACTTTTTTTTAATTTCACCTTGTTTTGGTAGCACATTCTTAATTTGATTGGCCATTTTTTGGAACAGCCCTCTGTCTTATTAGGTTTTTTGTGCAATTTGTATCAAAATATCATTCTAAAAGAGAAGAGAGAAGCTGGAAATCCACTTTTAAAACTAATGTATGTATATGTTGGTAGTTTTAGAGTTATAGGTAGAGATGTATGTTTGTTAAGCAATCATTGTCTAAGTATGTCTTTGTGCATTTTTGTGGGTTTTTTATAGTCAAAATCTTAATTAAAATATTAGGGGCAAAACACCATTCTAAAACATACTAAGAATTATCTAAAACAGCAGTCTAAATTGAAGTGGTCCATACATATTCAGCTCTAATCAAGCTAAACAAACAATAATTTCTAATGCACTGAACATCCAGTTTGTTTATCTAGCACAGATCAAGAGCTGACGTAAATGTTAAGCTGGTGATATCACTCTTTGCTCAAAAGTATATATGGTAGGTTTCCATGGTTTGGGATGTTAATATCTTGTGATGTAAATCAAGCCAAAACAACCTGCCTCTCCCTGATCATGTGTTGTGTACTGACAGTTGCTAGGCAAGCTCTTATAGCCTGAGATCCCAATCTGCTTCATTGTGAATAGTTCCATTGACCCTCCTCTTGGACCACATTTTGAGCATTGTGTTTGAGCGTGAAGCCTGCGTGCCCTGAAGAGGATTGGGCATGATTGTTTCCAGGATTCTGTAATATGTGCGTACATTGTGGTATCTGGGCAAAACAAAAACTGAGGTTCAACAGGACAAAACATGATGCTCAAGCATGTAGTGAAAAATCTCACACTGAAACAGTGGAAGGTATAATAACCTCCTTAAATGGCCGTCTGGGYAGGGGKTCAAACAAACCCACCACTGCCCCACCAATTATAATAACTGGGCAGATGGCAATACGATCAATCCCACCATCTGACACCAAATTATAAAGGCAGGCTTTATGGCCAAACAATATGACTGGACAGGGGGCAAACAATCCCACCACTGTCCCTCCTTTAATAAGGAATTCACACCACTTTGGCACCTAGATAACRCTTGAGGGGATGTCTCTTTATTTAAACTTCCGCTGCCACCATAAACTAAAAGAATCAGGAATCCTCTAGCTATTTAGAGATATTWAAAAGGTTGTTTAAACACCACCAAGTACTGTCTTTTAAAAGGGCTTCTTTGAGGGAACACAGGTGAGGTTGATTTAAAAAGAAAAGGGACTAAATCCACAAATGGCACTTGACACAGGCTTAAGTTTCAAAAATAACAAGAAAGGTTTATTGAATAGAAGTTACAGAATGAAAGTGAATGCAGTTTAATAGGCTTAGCTGTTACAATTAAAGTGTTCTTAGTTCTTAAAAGATCTTCACAGAAGGCACCCTGTACTGAGTCAGAGCATTGATTCATCCAGCTGTTTTCAGTTATGATGGCATATATGTAAGGATTCTTTCTGAACCCTCCCTGGGAGATCCCTAGTATTCCCTGATGGTCTCCAACCCAAATATATCCAAGAAATATATCTAAGCCCAATTTAGCTTAGGTTCTGAAATCAAATGAGAGCAAGTGAACTCAGTATGTCATAGGAAGCCTACAAAAAGTAATCCTTTAGGTGATTTTGCATACTGCTGACCACACATTAGTCCCCCTTTCAAATATAACATTGTGATTGATAGAACAATTCAATTAACCTCCATAACAGTTTCCAGCAATAAACTTTTCAGATTTTATTGCTAGAAACTGTTATGGAGGTTAATTCCATATTGATTCCAGGGTAGTCTTTAGAGAACTCCATTGGTCTCCCATGGGACCCTAGAGGGCAGTACATCCCTCCTCCCGTTGTCAGGGTCGTCTTGATATATTTTAATTGTTTTTAGGGGGGTCTATCTTTTTAGACCTGTGTAGCTTTTATTTTCAAAAGTTAATGATTGGACTTCTAGTTGACTTCCTGGAAACATATGAAAAGTGTACGTAATTTATTACTTTCCATTCCGCTTCAATGGATTATACCTCTGTTCTTCAACAAGTTTTCAAGGTGTTTTACATAACTGCAATAAAGCTGACAGTATATCACAATATGAAAGAACATTATAAAAAAGGAGCAAAAAATAATCAAACATAAAGCATTTGAAAGGAATTTCAATTTTCATTTTTAATTATTCTGCCTAATTGTGACATAGTTTATGCTAGATTATGCAAATGAGACTACAGTTGATATGTAGGCAACCTCCCTATGGAATTACACTTGAACTATGGACTCATTGCCCCATTGATTTTAAGAGTGACTCAATGACAGTTGCATCTGACGACTTTTTCAAGGCATATTTTACTTCATTCATGCATTTTAGTAACTTGTTTGTAAAGTATCGTAAGCCACTCACAAACAAAAGATAAACTGCCTCAAATTGTCAACACCTGAGGTAAAATGAAAGTACGGTTAAAAATGGTGTTTGACATGATGACATTTCTTTGTCTTCTTCCAGATCAATAAGCATGCCTTCTCTGGCGGCAAAGATACTATTGAAGAGCACAGGAAATATGGAGGAAATTGTGAAGTAGATGTATCTTACATGTACCTCTCCTTCTTCCTTGAAGATGATGACAAATTGGAACAAATTAAACAGGTAATTATTTATAAGCAACCTCCTATTGTTTTTTTACGCTTTGATCCTCTGCTAAAAATCATCCAGCCTCTGTTTAAAAGCCTCCAAAGAAGGAGCCTCCACCACACTCCAAGATAGTGACTATTTGCAGTCCAAACATTCTTACATTTTATTAACAGTGTAAGTAATGCATAGAAACTTTCTAGTATGCAATAAAAGGCAAGTGTGCAAATTCCCCAGCAAAGCTAGGGACTCACTAAGGCAATTCACCCATAAGTGTCGCTCATGCGAAGAGGCCATCATTTTTTCTTTATCAACTCTGAACACAGCATGATAGTGTAAAGTATCTAATCTTTGGTAGCTAACTGTTCCTCGGTATGAGGAACACTGCATGAGTCACCAAATCAAACCTCCTATGCCTAAAATATCCCATTCCATTACAGTAAAAGTGATACTAAGGACAGCTGTTTCTCATTCATTTATGTGTCGGCAGCTGTATAGTCAAGAAACTTCCCTGAGGCCTTCCTTCCAGAAGTTAGTAGATAGTGACCACTGTTTTCTCTTCTCAGGCCTATACAAGTGGAGCACTACTAACGGGAGAACTCAAAAAGATGCTGATTGAAACACTTCAGCCATTGGTTGCAACTCACCAACAAAGGCGAAAGCAGATCACAGATGAAATGGTGAAGGAATTCATGACTCCGCGGAAGCTGGCATTTGATTTTTAATCCTACAGGTGCATGTTAATTTATCAATAGATTCAGAACACAGTGGGTCAATGCTGTCCTGCCCTACTGCATATGTCACCTGTCTGTGATGACGTCTGGGCTGAAGTCAATGTTTCTTCAAAAAAATTACTTACTCCATATGTGTCAACAACTGTTTGGGAAAGCATTGTTTATGAGTCTGAAAGAACCAGCCACAAATTGCAGCCTTGATTGGACTGTTGTAAGTTCCCAGGATAATTAGGTCACCTAGAAAAATCATTCAAGAGCAGACTACTCATCAACAGATGCCTCATAGAATGTATGATTAGAGAACATGATAATGTTACATCAATAAAGATTTATGTACAATGCCAGGTGCTACAGCCTTGAGATCTGTTAGCATTCTTTTATATCTACGAAGGGGTCCTGCTTTAAAGACAAGCTTATATCTTTGGTCCAGTTTGCTCTTGTTCCTTTTTTTTTAGTTTAAAAGTTCTTAACCGTATGGTAGCATGGTCTCCCAAGTCGTAGTATATTTGCATGTTTCGCAAAAGTATTCATAAGTACATTCGTTTTACTGTTAAAAGCTAACCATTCTCAGATAAATATTTTTCTGAGCAATACTTTTCTAAGAGGTATGCTGGATATGTTGAGTATGATAGTAGATTTTGGCAAATTTGACAAGCAAAGTACCATTTTACCCTGAGCAGCATGAGAAGCTGAGATGTTGTTTTCAGTACAACCTCCTCACTCTCATATCAGTAGGACATGTGTCCCTGGATTCGCATGGATGCACAAAGCTGCAATCCTTATTGAACTGAAGAATTTCTACCCAAGAATATTATGGAGTTGCAATAGAGGACCTAATAAAAACAATAACAACAATAACAATAATACTAAATAAATAAATAAACTTTATTTATACCCTGCCACCATCTCCCTCAACGGAGACTCGGGCCGGCTTACATGAGGCCAAGCCCAAAAAACAAATTACAACAGAGTAAAACCAAAAACACAAGCAACAAACAGCAACATCACAATTACATAATAATAAAAGAAAAAAAACATACATTAGCAATATAAAATTACGATCACAGTGACAATGGGCGGGCCACAGGTGCAGAATAAAATGATTAAAAAATGATTAAAAACTCGGGTGAGATAAAAGGAGGGGCAGGTTATTTGCAAGTGGAGCTCATAAAAATGAGGTTTTGGAACCAAGCTTTCCCACAAGAGGGGGGGCGACGTGTACTTCAATGACAGAAACATTGCGGCTGATTGATAGTGTAAGCTTGTGTACCTACTCACCAAAGGCACAACGGAAGAGCCAGGTTTTGAGGTTCTTTTTAAAGGTTTCTAGCGTAGGGGCTTTCCCAATCTCTCCAGGTAATGGGTTTCAGAGTCCGGGAGCCACAGAGGAGAAAACTCCTAGAGATGACACATTTTGTTGGATAAATTAAATGACAGGTATCAGGCCTTGTTGGGCGAGTGGCCTTATTAACAAAATATCCTCCTGATAAATGCACAGCAGAGTAACTTAGCAGCAGCATGACCCAACACCAGTAGCCCAAAGTGATAAAAAGAACAAAAACACAAAGACCAAACTTATGCACTATTTACAAAAACAAGGTTTCCATGACACAAATAAAGTTGAACCTTCACACTGGAGCTTCACACGGGAGGCCTTCTCATATCGAGGCTTACCTCACAGACTAAGACCTACCTCACACTGTGAGGCCATCTCACAGACTGAGACCTTTCTCCCACTGAGGCGTTCTCTCACGCAGGCTTCTCTCAGACTGAGGCATTACTGAGCAACAGGCACACCTGCTTACATTGAACTACAGCTTTTGCTGAGTCTTTGCATCCATTTAACCTTTTCAGTGCTTGTCACGTTCTTGTAATTAAAAATATATAATTAATTTTAATATTTCTGACAGGCCTGACCTAAAGTTTGCCTATTACTTTGTATTAAGCAATAAGAATTAGAGTTGACCTGAATACATAGTTCAGCAGAAAACATCTTCCCCAGATTAGATTTAAATAGAATGGGATTTATGAGATGTATGCACAACATAATGAAGTAGGTCAGTAGTTTAAATGGTTTTCCATATTGGCTTTGGAATGTAATATCAAGCATCTAGCCCCAAGGTGCCATATTCTAACAGGCCAGAAATGGTAATCTGTGCATTTATATGCTTGCTACATTTAACATAATTCTAAATCCGTTCTGAGCAGCAATTTGAAAATAACTTTGGAAATCTATATTAATTTATGTACTTGCTGCTCATAGTTTCTATGGTCGTAAACTAGGGAAACGACAATCGTGGCCTACTTTTGATGGAAGACAATAGAATTGCTCATTGTTCAAGCAATTAAAGAAAATGCAGCTAAATTGTGCCTTTGTTTCATTTCTGTCTTTACTATTTCCAGCTGTACCAAATCCATGTACATAGTTGAAGACAGCAAGTAATGTACCAAAAGAGCCTAAAAATCAATTGTAGAATTCATTACATATGAAAGGTTGCATAAAATTGGATTTCAGTTGATTAACTCTGAAAACTCTTCTGCTTTACATTTAAAGAATAAGATTGTTGCTCACACTGAATGCAAGAGAGTGGTTTGGTACTACACATTGTCAAATTCATTGAAATACATTCAGTTAGACTTGTTTTAGATACTAAAGCTGTGTATGCATACAGTGATGTGGATTGTGTTTTTGACCTTCCATCCCAGTTTGTCCCCATCATTCCTCAATGTTGGTTGCACTGTTTAGAACTGATGGAGGTGAAATCTAACCACAGCTGAAGTACAACCAGTTGCCCGTGCCTATTCTGGTCCTTTTCCTTAAGATTTACACAGAGCACAGTGTATCTACGTGTAAAATGAATACCACCAAATACCAGTGGGATGATCACATGGGATGTACTTATACATTGGCTTTTATATATAGGCCCTATGGGCTACATGCACATTGGCTGGACAAGCAGGTGCAATCCAGTTTAAAGACATTGGAACCCATATGTTTTTGGAAGCTAAGCAAGGTTTGGCCTAGTTAGTACTAAGACCAGGAGATAAAAGGGGTCTTCAGACAATTCTAGGGGGACATCCTGAAACTCAGGAGTAGATGCCACCAGCCAAAGTGGACAATACTAAAGTAGGTGTCTCAATAATCTGACTCAGTAGGATAACATTGCTTCTTAAATCTCTTAACATCCATTGGATGTCCATTGTGAGCATCTGGGGAAAGTGTTTAATAGCCCTGTAGTCTTCCATAGGCTTTCATACTGGTTAAAGTCCTGCATTCCATTGTTTGGCCTCAGAGATTTAGACTCCATGGGACAGACCTAACAGGTTTGTTGCTGAATATCCATACAGGTATGGGCTGCTTTCTGTTTCCCTTCCCAAGTTGAGAAGGAGCTGTGTTTATTTTCGTAAAACCCCTATGCAGGAGTTGGAGGACCTACATTTCACCGACCAGACTCAGCCTGCAGGAGATCCTACAACAGATAAGAGGTCATTGAAATCCTGGGAAGCTGTTGCATAATACTGAGCTGTGTTTTACAGTCTAGAAAGCTATCACTTATTGATGAATTATGCTTTGCCACCTAATAATCTGTTGTGTAATACTGAACTGAGTCTTGTTATGTTCAAAGTTATAATTAATACATCTGCATCATCCACTATTCAGGCTTTCCACAGATTAGAATTCAGATCCTATGCCTTTCACTCTCTACTGAGTCATAAGAATTGCTGTTTATATACTTGGTGGCATATATGCCTGAATTTTGTCAATTTTACTCATTCTGATTCACTGAGCTGGGATGGTCGAATGTGCTGGCTGTGTAACAATGGACTTTCGTGGCTGGAATCACTGGGTTGCTGTGAGATTTCCAGGCTGAATGGCCATGTTCCAGAAGCATTCCCTCCTGATGTTTCGCCCACATCTATGGCAGGCATCTTCAGAGGTTGTGAGGACCTCACAACCTCTGAGGATGGCTGTCATAGTTGTGGGAGAAACGTCAGGAGAGAATACTTCTGGAACATGGCCATACCAGCCCATAAAACTCACAGTAACCCTATGTAACAATGCTTCAGAGTAGGTATGGCCTTACTGTTAAACATCCTTAAGCACTTAAATAGCTGCTGTTAGGTGTCCAAACCAAATTGAACTCACAGAATTCAGCACACTAATACTTATGAACTTATCACATGCAAATTTGAAGGACAGATAATATTGCACCTATTCTACATGACATGCATTGACAGCATACTCTGCCATTGTGCTACTTCCATGCTTTAGCAATACAAGTAGAAACATGATATGTGACAAAGATTTGTGTAGATAGAAGTTTGCAATTACAATCTTGTAACCTGCCACGAGTTGATGAAATGAATCTTGATGTCAAAAGAAACTGGTTCAGGAGCTTTTCTCTTTGTCTTTGCACCATAGTACAACTGTTGTTTTTTATATATATATACACACGTGTGTGTGTGTGTGTGTGTGTGTGCTTTCAAAAGGGCCAAGTGAGAAGGGTGACAGAGAAGCCAACCCTGCTCAGACATCTTGTAAGGCAGCTTAGTCATACTGTTGTAAAAGGAATTCCTTGTGGATGATGCATAAGGGCTGTACAAACCAAAATCACACACAATAAAAACTGGGAGAACTTGCAGAACAGATTGTCTTTGCCATTGTTGTCTATTATGTAAGGTTATACATTTTTGTGTATGTATTCATCTTATGGAAGAACCTTCCTAAAATAGCTGCATAAGTGCTGATGAATAGAAATTGAAGGGAGATGTTGATAAGCTGGAATGTGTCCAGAGGAGGGCGACCAAAATGATCAAGGGTCTGGAGAAGAAGCCCTATGAGGAGTGTCTCAAAGAACTGGGCATGTTTAGCCTGAGGAAGAGAAGGTTGAGAGGAGACATGATGGCCACGTATAAATATGTGATGGGAAGTCATAGGGAGGAGGGAGCAAACTTGTTTTCTGCTGCCCTGGAGACTAGGACACGAAACAATGGCTTCAAACTACAGGAAAGGATATTCTACCTAAACATTAGGAAGAACTTCCTAACTGTGAAAGCTATTCAGCAGTGGAACTTTCTGCCCCGGAGTGGAGGCTCCTTCTTTGAAGGCTTTTAAGCAGAAGCTGGATGGCCATCTGTCGGGGATGCTTTGAATGCAATTTTCCTGCTTCTTGGCAGGAGGTTGGACTGGATGGCCTACAAGATCTCTTCCAACTCTATGATTCTATGAAACAGCTGACAATTGTTTTGAAGATACTTCTGGTTGTTCTGAGCTATGGATGTGAAGCAGTCACTGCAACTATTGATCTGCTACTTCAAGTACGCTTATCCCATGAGTTTGACTTTATCTGGCTAAATACCTTGGTTTTCCATGAGATACAGGTTGAACATCCTTATCCAGGATTCCAAAATCCAAAATATTCAAAACCCAGAATTCTCCATCTGGATACCTGATATAATGACACTTTTGCTCTCTGATGGCTCAGGCACAAAACCATTAAGAATATTTTATAAAATTATCTAAAGGCTATATGTATAAAGTGTACATGAAACATAAGTAAATTTCATGTTTAGATATGGACCTAATCTCCAGGATAATTTATGCGTGTAGGTATTTGTATATGCAAATATTCCAAAATCTAAAACACTTCTGATCTCAAGTGTTTTGGATAAGGGATAGTGAACCTGTACTCACTTCACACAACCAGCTCACCGTTGTCTTGGAAATAACACAAATAAAGGAGCAGCCATGACCCTTAGCTTAGGAAGGTCAGCAAATGCTGAGGAGGAAAAAACAATCTAGAAAACCAAGGTCTATAACACGTATCGAAATGGGAACTAAGTTAACCATTCCATTTGAAACAATGTAAACTGTATTCTTGTTTTCATACCATAGTTTCCACTGCAAGCTGCAGTATTCTAGAAAGCTGGGTGTTTGATATGGAGGTGGCAATTTAAATGTGTATTCTTTCTTCTTCAAAATGTCCTTGAGATCTGAGTACTTATCAAGAGAATATGTCTTGTTGTTTTAGCGATGATGAGTAGGTCAAATTCAAAGCAATGATTCGAACACAAATCTTCATTACAGTATTCACAAATGTAAGTCTTGGCATTAATTAATTTCTGCTTCTCTATGAACATTTACAGTATGTGGATTTTAGAAGTCTAGCTGTGAGAGTCAGCATGGTTTGATCATTGGACCTTGACTCTAGAGAGCAGGCTTTGAATATTCACTTGGTCATCAAAACCTGCTGGGTGACCTTGAGCTCATCACATTCTTTCAGTCTTGGAATGGCGAAGGAAAACCCCTCTGAACGAATCTCACCAAGGAAAACTGATGATACATTCACCTTAAGGTCGCCATTAATTGGAAATGACTTGAAGGCACACAGGAACAAGCTGCTCAAACCCACAAGTGTTGGTATTTTGTTAGGCAATTCAATGCAAACTCCTACCCAAAGATATTAACAGTTCCCAACAAATAAGAAATTAGCATTACAAAACATTATTGGTTGTCATGTTAGTGAATTACAAATGTGTAGATTGGAGTAACATCATTACAATTCACTTTTTTGGTGATTGTAAATGCATCATGTGTAGAGACCCAGAAGTCTCTGCAGATGCCTATGAATTCCTCCCCCCCCCCCCCCCCCATCAACTTGTAAGCAGGTGGGTGGCACTGCTTACAAGCTGAGATTTTGGAGGGATAGGAAAAGTCCACATATTTCTCCCAATGCAAGATCTCAACCAGAACTAATGACTTCTTGCATTTCCTTACATGGTTATTTCCTATAGTCATCTCTACACATTCGTGGAGGTTAAGGCTACAGGACTACCAGGAAAGTGAAAATTGCAAATAAGGAAATTGCTTTTATTTTTTGTACCCAAGAGAACACCTCTCTGGGAATTTCTAGGTCTTCCAGAATAACTATATGACTTCCACTGGAAACAAACCATAGAATCACACTGAGGAACCTACAGATTCCTAGACAGGTGTTCTGGGCCACCAAAAGGCCTCCATCATGACTAGAGGAAGTTGACCATAGAGTCAAGCAGGAGGATCTAGTGCAGGGGTCCTTAAACTACGGCCCGTGGGCCACATGCGGCCCATCGAGGGTATTTATCCGGCCTGCTTAGGAGAAAGCCTCCCTCTCAGTGGAATTAGTCTTGGCCCTGGTAATGCAGAACTCCTTTCATTCTTTCTGTCTCCCCCTCATGCTCCCTCTCTTTCTCCCAGTTTCAGTCTTTCCCCTTTTCACCTCTTGTTTTCTTTCTCTTCCTCACTCCTCCTTTCTCCCTTCTTTCTCCCTCTTTTTTCCTCCCTTTCTCCTCTTCTTCTTTTTATATCCTTTTCTTCTGTGCAGGCGTTCCTGTGGGCATTCTCAAAATATACCTTGATGCATCTTTTCTTGCCATTAATCCTCTTGCATGAAACCTTTATAGTAATTTTTAAAATATAATTTATTCTTCAGGAATTGTGCAAATTCAATATATTACCAGTTCGCTGTAGCTATATAAGTTGTTGCTATGTTCAAGTTATTTCCAAATTATGGTGCCCTTGAAGCAACACTATCACAGGGTTTACTTGGCAAGATTTGTTCAGAGGGAGAGTATGCCTTTGCCTTCCTCTGAGGCTAAGAAACTGCTATCGTGGGTTTTTGTGGCACTATGTGTTCACAGTTAGTTTGCCATTAGCTTCCTCTGAGTTGATGGACCTCATCACACTAGAGAATGAATCCACTTTAAATCCACTTGCTGCTTCCTGCAGAATTCTGGGGTTTGTAGTTTACGAAGGAGCCTTTAACAGCCTCACTAAACTACAAATCCCAGAATTCTGCAGGAGGCAGAAACCAGATTTAAAGTGGATGCTTTATCTAGTGTGATGGAGATGTAAGAATACCTTGCCCAAAGTCACTCAGTGGGTTTCCATGGCTGAGATGCTGGCTCTCCAAATCACGTAAACTTGTCATGGATGCAAGAATGACAAGGGGAATCCTTTTTTTTTTTTTTTGGCCATGTTATTGAAGAGTAGAATATATGTGTGAGTAGTGGATGTGAGGAGGCCAAATGACAGGAACCATAAATATGTTATTGAGATACAATGAAAGGTTAATTGCCCCTAGATTGTGGAAAAGGAAATGTTTTCCATCACTGCATTACAGGAGATTTATAATCCAGGATTCAATTAATGTATACACCTTAATATGTGTAAACATAGGGAAACATTTTAGTCTGAACAAATAAATGTTTTGGTAATGGCATTGCTTCTATGTGTTGGCAATAAGGGTTCTTTGAAACTAAAGTATATCTTCATCGAACAATAATTAGTAAGCCAGGAAACTTCACAAGGATACATTCATTGTCACTTTTGCTAGGAGCCCCTGTTAAACCCTTGTGCTGGCAGGACCAATTATCGACAGGTCAGAGGTTCAAATCTGGGTAGAGTGCAGATGAGCACCCTCTGTCAGCTCCAACTCCCCATGCAGAGACATGAGAGAAGCCCCCCACAAGGAAGGAATAACATCAAAAACATCAGGGCATCCCCTAGGTAACATCCTTGCTGGCGGCCAATTCTCTCATACCAGAAGCGACTTGTAGTTTTTCAAGTCTCTCCTGACATGGAAAAAAAATTATGCTAGATGCTCTTCCTAGATTTCTATCTTAATTTCCAAACAGGAAAGTGTGTGTGTGTTTTTAATGTCAACCTGAAATCAACTGTGGTTTGCACATGATGTTTAATGCCACAACCAGAAGGTCTTGAGTTTCGGGCTGGAAACCTCAGAGTCTGAGACACTCCTAAACTAGCAACCCTACATGCACCCTGCAAGCCACAGTCCCTCTGGACAACTGCCTCTTGCCCTAATGCATCCATAACTTGGAAAAGATACTTTCTTGGGTGAGACTAAACCTCCTAACAGCATCTGCAGCAACATTCCAATCAGCACCAATGGTCTGGAAGCTCCCATTTTCATTTCCTGCCATACACCAGGGACATTGCAAGCTACAATTAACCTGTCTACATCAAACAGAAGCAGATAATTGTGGGGAAAGATTTGATAGCGATCTTTTTTTATTCCCAGGCACGGAAACAATTCCTCATGACGTGGACATCTTTTTTAATGGAAATTACTTGAGAATCTTGATAAATCTCATTCCAAGAGGAAATAACAACCACTTTGATATTTATATGGTGTTAACTCCATTTATTTCCGGAAACGTTCTCCAAGCCGAAGGACAGCTTCATAAGTAAAGAAAACCACCATGTTCGCAGGGAAGGCACGGAGCGAGTTAAGTCCAAGGCCTTTGAAAAGCACTCTCAGGCCTTCTTCCCTTACACTATCCCGAGCACAGTGCATTAGTCCTGAATATTTACGTTGCCCCTCGCCATCTGCTTGCATCCTGGATTTAAGGACGTCCATTGGGGTTGCTGCGCCCCAGGCCAGCACTCCAGCAGAGCCTCCAGAAAGAAGGACAGCCCACATACCTGTGTGCATAAATCACAATCCTATTAGTGAAAGTGAATGTGAACCAGATCACAGAGAGAGAGAGAGAGAGAGAGAAGATGGATGCATAGAAAAATGAGAGCGAGAGACAGAAAGATAGATATGATATCTTGATTTTATGCTACATGTGTTGATGCGGGTTGTTGTTATAATTTTATGTGACTTGTTTTACATTTTTGTACTACTTTTACCTGTTGTATGTTATATGTGCATCCTTGTAAGCTGTCAAGTTCCTTCGGGGAGATGGTGGCGGGATATAAATAAAGATTATTATTATTATTATTTACTGACAAAAAACACAGTATGACACAGCAAACAAGATATATATGCTGGTTCAAACTCTACCAGAGACTCCAGCTGTAATTTAGTGTTGGGACCCCCACAGAGAGCAAAATGAATAGATGCTAAAGTCCAATTATATACAAATGGAGTATATAATGTTGACCCTTATATAAAATGGCAAAACCAATGTTTCATTTACGGAATTTTAAAAAAATGTTTTCAATTGTTGTTGTTGTTGTTGTTGTTGTTGTTGTTGTTATTATTATTATTATTATTATTATTATTATTATTATTAGATATCATATGAAAAGCAAAAAATAATAGCAAAAAATAAAAGTCGACTGAATGCCTCTCTATCAAATAAGACTATACATGTTCAGTATTATTTATTTATTTATCGTATCAGTATCAACCAGACAATTGTATTACAAATTTAACAAATTTTTAACAAACAGACAAAACAGAGTTTGCAAGCTTGGTAGTTGATTAAATGTCCTTTGACCACTATCTGGCCACTTGGAGTGCCTCTGGTGTTGCTGCAAGGAGGTCCTCCATTGTGCATGTGGCCTGGCTCAGGTTGCATTGCAGCAGGTGGTCTGTGGTTTGCTCTTCTTCACACTCGCATATCATGGATTCCACTTTGTAGCCCCATTTCTTAAGGTTGGCTCTGCATCTCGTGGTGCCAGAGCACAGTCTGTTCAGCGCCTTCCAAGTCGCCCAGTTTTCTGTTTGCCCAGGGGGGAGTCTCTCATTTGGTATCAGCCATTGATTGAGGTTCTGGGTTTGAGCCTGCCACTTTTGGACTCTCGCTTGCTGAGGTGTTCCAGCGAGTGTCCAGAAGCAATCAGAAGCGACTTGCAGCATACATGTTCAGTAACATCCATGGATACAAATAAGGCAATACTCTTGAGTTTCAGAATAGAAAAAAGACCTCTACAGAATCAGATCAAAAGCCTGTCTTATCCAACACTCTGTTCACACAGCGGCCATCCAGATGCCTATGGGAAATCAGGACAGGAATACAGATGCACCCTTCTGTTCACAATTCCTGAGTATACTTCAGTGAACAATGTAGATGTACAGTATTGTGTTTCCTTGGTATCTGGTGCTATTTATTTATTGATTTGCCTTATTTATACCCCACCTTTCTCTACCCCAGGAGGGACTCAAGGCGGCTTACAAATGACACCTACACAGTTCCTCAAAACATACAAAATTCACCTTAAAATGGTTTGGATTAAAATTACAACATAATAAGCATGATTAAAATACATTCAAGGTTAAAATATGCCATCCAGAGTTCAAGGTCTAAAGCCATTCTGTGCACACAGTTACGCATTAAGATTACTGCACTGCCCTATTTGGTGGCAGGACCCCCCACAGAAAGCAAAATCAATAGATGCTAAAGCCCAATTATATACAACGGAGTAGTAAAATGTTGTCCCTTATATAAGATGGCAAAACCAAGGTTTCCTTTTGGGCAGTTTTTAAAATGTGGTTGGTTCAATCTTTGGATACAGAATCCATGGATATGGAGGGCCAACTGTATTCCTGGGCATTACTTCTTTAACAGAGAATTCAATACCAGAGGCAATAATAACTCTGAAAAATAACTCTGAAACTCTGAATAGGTTCCAATCCACAAAAACAAAGAGTGGTTCAACATGTTTTGACAAACTTTTTATTCAAAGTGGACAATATGCATGTGTGAAATAAAACCACAACTGGAAACTGAATTAAGCCTTGCATAAGCAAAGAAAAATATTTGGAAACTTCTAGAGGAAACTTGAAGAGTCTTCCAAAATGTATCCACAGATAACCCTTTTTGTTCACCAGCTTCCTTTTTCTTACATTTCCCATTTTTGAGATGAACACACTGGTAAAACAGGCTCCCTGCCCTTTTCTTTCAGGTTTGCTATTCTTGCAAACTTAGTAAGGGATTCCTGAAGCAGAGACCATTTACCTTGCCTATAGTCAGTAGCTCTGGTGCCCACCGCTAGAGTAAAAATGCAATATTTTGCCTTTCAGGCTTTATTACATTGTGTACTGCAGCCTTCCTTACCATAGCATTATATAGACCATATTACATAACATGTATCATTTTTTCCTGTGGAAGCATATTTTCTAAGCAGTTAAATATGTCTGAACCCTGTGGAAAACATCAATTTCTGCATAACAAAGGCATTGCCTTGGAAAGAAAAGTATGGATCTCAGGGAATGATTCTGTTGTGAGCCTCCCTGAGTTCTCATGGAGAGGGGGTGGGATATAAATAAAGATGATGATGATGATTATTATTATTATTATTATGCATAGATTGCATAATAGTGTGATTTAATCATGGAACTAGACTGAACAAAGTCACAATGATCAAGTTGAAGAAAGAGATAACCTTTTTTGGAATCTTGCAGTAACAAGCCAGAAAACAGGAAGAAAAATGACTTACAGTCACTGTAGAAAGGGGAGGTATGATTCACAAAGCAGGGAAAGAAAAACCTCTTAACTAAGTGGTTCTCAGCCTTCCTAAAGCCACGACCCTTTAATACAGTTCCTCATGTTGTGGTGACCCCCAACCATAAAATTATTTTTGTTACTATTTCATAACTGTAATGTTGGTATTGTTATGAATTGTAATGTAAATATCCGATATCTGATATGCAGGATGTATTTTAATTCACTGGATGAAATTTGGCACAAATACCCAATACATCAAAATTGGAATACTGGTGGGATGGGGGGGGGGGGCAATTGATTTGGTCATTTGGGAGTTGTAGTTGCTGGGATCTATAATTCACCTAAAATCAAAGAGCATTTGGAACCCCATCAATGATGAAATTGAACCAATTTTGGCACACAGAACTCCCATGACCAACAGAAAATACTGGAAAAGTTTGGAGGACATTGACCTTGAGTTTTGGAGTTGTAGTTCATCTACATCCAGAGAGCACTGTGGACTCAAACAATGATGGATCTGGACCAAACTTGGCACAAAAACTCAATAAGCCCAAATGTGAACACCAGTGGAGTTTGGGGAAAATAGACCTTGATATTTGGGAGTTGTAGTTGCTGAGATTTATAGTTCACCTACAATCAAAGAGCATTCTGAACCCCACCAATGATAGAATTGGGCCAAGCTTCCCACACAGAACCCCATGACCAACAGAAAATACTGTGTTTTCTGATGATCTTTGGCAAACCCACTGACACCCCCCTCATGACCCCCTCCTGGGTCCCGACCCCTAGGTTGAAAAACAGTCTTAGAATGACCTAATATATTTCACAGCAGAAATATCAAGAACCTCAGACATGGACTAGATTAGGGTAAGAATGACATGTCTCTCCAGATGTTGGCAGGAAATTTCAGTTCAATAATATTTGGAAGACCACATGATTCCCACCCTTGGGCAATTAGATTTAGGTTAAAGTCAGTATGAATACTCCTAAGGATGTGGAAGGGTAAAGCTCTGGTCAGGAGCCTTCTGCTTCAAGTGATAGAGGCAGAATGTTTCTGCAGTGCGGACATACCTTGGTTAACTAAGTGGTAGTGAAGTTCCTTTCTACAAAGTATTTTTACACTCCCAGCCCTCCTTTAATCTTCACCTCCTGTCTAGTTGGCAGTGTTTTTGGCAGCATGCATCATGTCACTACTGCATTGATCCACCCACTTTGTGGGATCCTCTCTCTCCCTCTCTACGCATGGATTACAAAGCCTTTAGTGCTAGTCCAGTGCTAACAATAACATCCATTTTATTTCACCATTTGGAAATCTTCCAAGCTCTACGGAAATTCACCTGGCTTTGGTAGCAAATTATCCAGTTTATCTGATTTTACTAGCCTGAAGAGTTACATGATTATACTAATGTGTGACAAAGCCTTGTAAAATGCATTCCTTTTAGCAAAACATTTAGAAGATGCAATTAGAAAGCAAGCATGAATGGATTTTGTAGGAATCCAATAGAGCACAATTTTCAAGGAAGATGAAGAAAGAGAAGGAGACCAAGCAGAGAGGAAGAACTATCTCGTGCCATCAGAGGACACAGCCTCTTCGTCAGCTAGTTTCACAAGAGCTCAAACAGAATTTTGTAATAGGCTCTCTGAATACATTACTCAACATTTATAATCGGTGCCAAATATTATTACATAATTTTATCCCATGCTTCCCAATGGAAGAACAGCTTTCTGCAATTGCTCTTGTCTATCAGGTTTGCTGGCTGGTAATTCTTGGAAGTATAATGTTGAAAAATATTTTTTTTCCAGTTTCTGTGCTATCTCCTGTGATTCCCATGGTCCCTACCAGGTCAGATTGTTTTTTTTTCACAACTAAGGCACAGGCAACTTCTATGTCCAAGTTGCACAGGCAACTTCTATGTCCAGGGAGACCAGAAGGACCCCATTCCTGATGTCCTTTTGGCAGCAGGCTAAAACGTTTTTATTCAAGCAGGCATTTAAAGAAGAAAGGTTTTAAGACCAAGCCAGGCTGTTGTGTAGGGTTTTGTGAATGTTAATAGGGGTTTTTTTTATAATTTTAACTACAGTAGAGTCTCGCTTATCCAACATAAACAGGCTGGCAGAATGTTGGATAAGCAAAAATGTTGGATAATGAGGGATTAAGGAAAAGCCTATAAAATCTCAAATTATGTTATATTTTTATATATGAAGCATCAAATGTCATGTTTTACAACAAATTAACAGAAAAAGTAGTTCAATAAACAGTAACATATGTAGTAATTACTGTATTTATGAATTTAGCACCAAAACATCACAATGTATTCAAACAGCTGTGCATCCGGGTGGGAGTCAGACTGCATTGGATAATACAGAACATTGGATGGGCAAAGGCTGGCTAAGCGAGACTCTATTGTATTATTTTTTTAACAGTTTCCATGTTTAATCCTATTTTAGTGTTGGTTTGTTTTTTAGGTTTTAAAATGTGTATTGTGTTGTTTTTAGTGTTGTTTTAGTGTTGTTAGCCACTTTGAGTCATAAGTATAATAAGTATAATAAGAGTATTATTTTTATTATTATTATTAAGTCATAATCTCAGTTGTGGACCACTCAAAGTCTCAATTTAACAAACTGGGAAATGTTGGAAATGGCAATCTTCTCAAGCCTCCACCGGTTATTTATTATGTATATAATTCAGAATGCTTACTGTATTGTATATGTGTGTATTGGTTTGTAATTTTACCTTAACTCTTTGTTGTGGGAGGGGCTGCAGACCATGTGATCAGAACTGGGCTTGTTCAGGACTCAGACTCCATTTTAGAACAGTTCAGTAGAGAAGTATGCCTTTAGAAGACTGCAGGAACAGTTATGCTTAGAGACTTCAGAAGAAACAGGACAGTTTAGAAGTTAGTTGAAACAGACTACAGAGACTCTATTAGACTCTCAGAACAGAGATGCTTTAGACTATGGACTATTGATTCTGAGAAAGATACCCTGTGTTACCTACACAGAGAAACTACTTCAAATCTGCTTGTAACTGAATAGATAAGCAAAGTACCTAATTGCTGAATACATGAAGTCTGTAAGTGAACCAACTATGTTACATTTAAAGAAATCTGCATATTTTTTTTCTCTTGAGAGCATGATTTAAAGGCAAATATAGTTTGAGAGTAGATGTTTTTGGGAAACTATAAGGAACAGTTCTGAAACTGCTCTCTCTCTCTATGTGTGTGTGTGTGTGTACAAATGCTGGTGAATGCCATTTTCCCAAAAGTTTATAACTCTATCAGGTCATGCTTTTACCAAGGTTGTGACTTTTAACAAGGTCATGCCTTTCCAAAGATCATAAAATCTCCAAAAGTTTCTGGAGATTTCCATTTTCCAAAAGAAGGGAGCCCCTTTACAACGACATGACTTACTTGTGGGGAAAAGTAGAGTGTAATTGCAACCAATAAATAAATATGTGGGCTAATGCTTGCAGCCCATGCCTGACAACTTACGATATCTACTTTCAGCAGACAAAGTTTTATAAACAGGTCCCACCTTCTGGATGAAGACACTTTAAATGTTGTTCTCTACTCTACTCCTCTTGCTGAGTTAAGTGCAGATTTCTATTACTTTGGCATTTTGACTTTAGTTTGCAGCAAGTGAAGTAAATTGAGCACAAAGAATGAAAGTAGGGGCAGAACTTGGGACATTTCAAAAGCAGCTGAAAAGTGGAACAACAGAGGATTACTCAGGAATGCCCCTGTCAAATTAGGATAGCTGGAGGGTATGCTGTCAGCACAATTACAATGTAGTTTTCACTCTCCTTTACTTTGATTCTGCACACAAAAGGAATTTGACATAGCTTTTTGATGTTGGCCTAAATCCAGTTCCTAGTCCCAGCTACTGGAAACCTATGGAATCCATAGCTGAATGGAAGTCAACAATTCAAATTCAAATGATTTATTTTGGGTGGATTTGGGGTTTGGTTATAGTTCTCCAGTTTAAAGCTGTCTTCAAAATTAATTAGTTCCGGAGAAACATTGTTATGCTAAAGAAATATCTCTTTATCTGTCTTTCAAACACAATGCTTGTAAAAACAAGAATTTCCCTTAGGCAGTTTGATTCCTCAGAAAAGGCAGCATTTCTGGTTTTTCAAGGCAGGTTTTTCGCTTTTCAGATCTAGAGCAAAGGAAAGATGGGAGAAATGTTTTTACTCTGTCGCTGAAAAATACGCATTGATCAAAGTTCTACTCCTCACTAAAGTAAACTGGATCCATGGGATTTATCTATTTGTTGATAATTCAGTGAATCCATTATATCCAGGGGATTACCCACTGGATTCCATTCAGATCCTCCTGACATAATTATAGATGTACCTTACTTGTATGTACAGTGAAAAGAACTTCTGTATTTTAGCATAAAATCACTTTAAAAGTTTGTGGACTACAAATGAATATAGTAAATCATATATTTAATTAATTGTTGAAGGCTTTCTTGGCCATAATCACTGGGTTGTAAGTTTTTTGGACTGTATGGCCACGTTCCAGAAGCCTTCTCTCCTGACATTTCACCTCCATCTATGGCAGGCATCCTCAGAGGTTCTGAGGACCTCACAACCTCTGAGGATGCCTGCCATAGATGCAGGTGAAACGTCAGGAGAGAATGCTTCTGGAATGTGGCCATACAGCCGAAAAACTTACAACAACCCATACTTAATTCATGCCTTAAGTATGTTATTTACTACATCCTAAGGCAATGAGGATATAGTAGGTGGCGCAATAGGTTAAACCCTAGTGCCGTTAGGACTGCTGATCGAAAGGTCAAAGGTTCGAATATGAGGGGCAGAGTGAGCTCCCGTGTTGTAGTTTCTAAAGTCACTCTTAACATGAAATAATAATAATGCCTTGAAAGAATTATAGAAAATAATTAACATTAAAAACTCAGCTATGGGGTTTTGTGAAATATAGTTTCCTTCGGGTTACACAGCATGAAACTGGAAACCATTTCCTCATTGGATCAGAATTATCACCACCAAACAAGAGGTTGTTGTTAATTAAACTGGCTTCAATTTATATTAACTTTTCAATTAGAGGCCTCAAGTCACTCTGTCATCATGTCCTCCAAACTGTTCCACCTTTATAACCATACATGCATGCATGTGTGTGTGTGTATACCATATCCATACCCAAGAATATGGTGGCTCAGATATAGAAAGGAAGTCATGTCAGCATGCCATGAAAGAGACAGCAAAGGCCAGATTTTGATGCTTGTGGAAGAACTATTTTTATACATACCTGGTTTGCCTTGGCCAGCTGGAGTAAGCCAGTCACACAGGACAGAATAAGTAAGGAAATACATTGCAGACGAATGGCAGTCTCTGTATAGTAAAGCCAAAGATCCCCTGTATAGACCCCGAAGACCTTCTTCCTTCACAATTGTCCTCAAGCAATGCACAGCACCTTGGTACTTAGGCTTAGTAGCAAGGAGATGGGGTGATGCAGTTGAGGGGAACGGGTCTTTTTGGATCTGTAATCTTACTTTGGCTATTTCAGCAGGTGCTATCAGGAGAATCTGCAGGACAGGATGGAGAATGGGTAGTTTTGAGTGGGGCTATTTTGATATTCCAAAATACCTGGACATTCTCTCCAAGAAGGTCGGGTTCCTGAATTTGTGACCCTTCAACTCATCCATCCCACTTGACCATTTGCCAGGCGTTCACAGCACTGCTATTTCCACCATAACACATCTTATCTCCATTTGACCCAGACCCCAGAATGCAATTTAACTGCATTGAATTGCATTATATGGCAGTGTAGACTCATATAATCCAGTTCAATGCAGTTAATCTACATGCTGAAACTGCATTATATGTCACTGTAGATGGGGCCACAGTTCAACAGCTTTCCAAGCTGCAAATCTTGGTCTTATTCCATGGAAAACATTCCAAGTCTGTAAACCAAAGCTTATTTCCATAAAAACGTTTCCAAAACTTTCAAAAAAAAAATCTCATTTAACAAGGACATGAGAAAATTAGTAGGAATCTATGTCAGAAGTTCTACTCCACTATCAACTTTACACAACTTATCTCTTTTGGAAGACATTTGATAAGTCCTGTTAACTTTTTCTTTGTTACAGTTTTACAAATTTCTTTTAAAAAAAGTATTTTCTTTCATTGTGTGTTCACTGATTTATGCGTTGATAATGCACTCTCAACTATATGGCACTTTGCAGAGTAAAGAAAGAACTCAGAGGAGCTGCAGCAGTGCAATGGGTTAAACCCTTGTGTTGCTGAACTGCTGACCTGAAGGTTGGCAATTTGACCCACGAGACACGGTGAACTCCCATCTGTCAGCTCCAGTTCCTGCCAACCTAGCAGTTCAAAAACAAAATGTGAGTAGATAAAAAAGGCAAAGAGACATTCCAAGCAGTCTTGCCAGCCACACAATCAGGAGATGACCGCACAGGCTTCTCAGCTTGAGAAATGGAGGAAAGCACCTCCCAAGAGCCAGAGATAAGCACCGCTTCCAGAAGCCAGAAATGAAAGGAGAAGCCTCTGCCTTTGTTTGTGTATCTCATTGTATATGTTTGTAAAGGCACTGAATGTTTGCCTATGTATGTAAATGCTGTAATGCACTCTGAGTCCCCTAGCAGAGAAGGGTGGGATATAAATCAAGTGAATTATTAACTCTTGTAGCCAACAATCTTATAATCTGCCTAAGCGGAGGAAGAAATGGAGTTGTATCATCTACAAATCCCAAAATATATTTACAGATATTTTTGGACTACCATTTCTATAAATCTCAGCCAGTGTGGCCAACAGTGAATTCTTCTGAGACCTGTAGTCCAAAATACCTGAAGAGCAACAGGTTGCCTTTGCAACATTTGCAACTGTATACTTGAGACAGTTAGATAAGAAATGTAAAATAAATAATATTAATTATAAACTGTAGTTTTGTGTCAACAGGATATTAAAAATAAACATTTTGTCTTTTAAGTTTTTTAATCCATTCTTTGTTTTTACTTTTAACCTACCCGAATAGCACCAGTAGCAGCTCCAGCAAAAGATATATCCAGCTTTGATGGCTTGCTATTTGCAGAACCATATCGCAATCTGCAGATGTTATAAAGGAAGTTTTTGTAGATGCCAAATGAAAAAGATGAAATTAATGATGCCATTACAACTGTCATTGACACACCGCGGTAGAAACCTAGCACCTGATATGCACAGAAAAATAAAGAAAATGCCTTTTAAAAAACAGAATGAGAAGTAATTGCCATTAATACTATGTTAATGACACAAACCTCTCCAATATAGAGCAGAAGTGGGCAACTCGTGTCCTACCAGATGTTTTTAGACTGTGAATCCATAATCTCTCATCACTTACAGTGCTAGCTAGACCTGGTGGGAAATACAATAAAATGTCTGGAGGGATAGAAGTTGCTCACTTGTTTGGTATTTTGGGCTGTATTTCCCATCAGGTCAAGTGGTAAAAGACGATGAGATTCACAGTTTGAAACTACTGGAAACACCTGTCTTCCTCACCCATGATTACAGAGCAGCAGAAATGAGTACTTTTCTTCTAGTTTCCATAATGAATATATTAATGATAATAAGATTAGAGAGATCAAAATCATAACTCGCCTGTCAGTTTTGCCTGCTGAATAATAAAACAGCAAATCTAAAAACTCTGATCTTTTCCTAAAAAGCAACTTTTAGAGGTGTTGGACTATACCTTGCATAATTCCCACACAGACAGATCCTGGTCATACTGTCTGGAATGTGTGATTTGTAGTCCAATACATATATAGAGAGAGCTTGAAGAAGACTAGTTATATCTGCTACTATCAATATTGAATTCACAGAACATGAAAACACAGGGAAATAAACAGCATTGCTGAAAGGTATCAAATACAGTTTGAGCATCCTTATCTGGAATTCTGAACCCCAAAATGCTCTGAAATCCAAACTCATCCACATGGGTGGCTTTTTTTTTTTTTTTGGTCGTGTCAGGAGCAACTTGAGAAACTGCAAGTCGCTTCTGGTGTGAGATAATTGGCCGTCTGCAAGGACGTTGCCCAGGGGACGCCCGGATGATTTTGATGTTTTATCATCCTTGTAGGAGGCTTATCTCATGTCCCCGCATGAGGAGCTGGAGTCGATAGAGGGAGCTCATTCGCCTCTCCCCGGATTTGAACCTGCGACCTAACGGTCTTCAGTCCTGCCAGCACAGGGGTTTAACCCACTGCGCCACCGGGGGCTCCTCTACATGGGTGGCTGAAATACTGACACTTTTGATTTATGGTGGCACAATATACACAAACTTTGCTTCATGCACGAAAGTATTTAAAATATTGTATAAAATTACCCCCAGGCTAGCTGTATAAGGTGTGTATGAAACATAAATGAATTTTGTATTTAGACCCATCTCCAGAACATCTCATTCAATATGTATGCAAACATAGATATTCCAAAATCCCCCAAAATCCAAAATCTAAAGCACTTCTGGTTCCAAACATTTCTGATATGTGATACTCAACCTGTACTAGCAAAACAATATGTGCTAGAAGTACAGCACTATAGATGTACAGTGCAGATTTTTTAATAACAGATTTTAGTAAAATGTTCTCACATTGACTCTCTAGATCCTCCAGCAGAAACAGAATATAGAGTCATGCTGGAGGGCCTAGAGACTCCTAGAAAGGTGTTCTCTCAGGTTTTAAAAAATAGCATTCAGTTTATTTGTGTGTGTGTGTGTGTGTTTTTTTTTCTTTTACTTTCACATGCTCCTGTGCTCCTAAGACCAATGAATGTATGAAGAATTGTCTTGAGGGGGGTGGGGACAAAACAGCAGGGCACAAAGCAGAAGAAAAACAAATTAAGTTTAAGTTTAATTGACTGTAGCCCAGTTTGTATTGATATTCATATTCACAAGTGCTGGTTTTGGCCTATAAAGCCCTATACGACTCCGGCCCAGCTTACTTGTCCAAACGTATCTCCCTCTACGTTCCACCTCATAGTTTAAGATCCACCGGGGAGGCCCTGCTCTCAGTCCCACAGGCCTCGCAAACACGTCTGGTGGGGACGAGGGACAGGGCCTTCTCGGTGGTGACCCCCCCGCTTGTGGAATTCGCTCCCCAGTGAGATTAGATTGGCGTCCTCCCTCTTTTCCTTTAGGAAAAAACTGAAATTGTGGTTTTAGAACCAGGCTTTTGGCTAGCAGGCACAACGGCACTTTGGACATTGAACTGGACCATATGATGATTGTTATGTTAATGGAAACATCTATATGACTGTATAATTAATGTTATTGTTTTAATCTATTATGTATTTATGGTTTTATATTGTGTTATATTGTGATATTGCAGCATCAAATTGTTGCCACTGCTAGCCGCTCTGAGTCCTCCCTCGGGGGTTGAGAAGGGCAGGGTAGAAATGTTGTAAATAATAAATAAATAAGTAAACATTCAAACTCTACCAAGAATTATTGATCCTGGATACAAAAAAAAACTGCGGGGAAGGAAGCATATTAAGCATTTTTGTCATTATTTCCATCATTGTCCATATATAATAATAAACATAAACATACATATAAAGAACAAAGACAATAGTAATACATGGAAATCTGGAGACTTTCTAAAGGACAGACTGTCAGAGGTTTTTCACACTGTTGGAAATGCTGACTATCCAACATTCATGGGATCATGTGAGGATCCCTGCACACAAAAGAGTTTCTCCCCTTCAAAACATTGCTCTCCACATGAGCAGAATGATAGCATTATGCAGGAGGCAGACATACCTAGTCTTACATATCGGTTCTCCTGATATTCACATCACACATGCCTGGCCTCTTGTGAAGAACTGGCTTGTATATTGGGTAGGTCACAGGATTTTGTCGTATTACTTACGCTTTCGGTTCTGTATGTGTCCAAGATGCAGTGCAATACTCCACGGTAACCTGCCTGAGTCTGAATCCTCACCTGTTGAGACAATCAATCCATTATGCATCCTGACCAGAAAAAGAGCTACCAATATGTTAGCATTTTTCTTATATATTGTTTAATAGCATTATTTAATCAAGACACTAAATCCTGGCACAAAGACTAAATAATTTCATTACCAAATGCATCTCAATGGATCAAATTGGGATTATGCCCAAAAGGGAGGCTTCAGAAGAGCTCGCAATATGATTATGATTCAGAATCCAAATCCAAAATAGCACTGATGTCATTAGATGTATTAAGAGTTGATACATTTGATATGATGGAGTAACCAATTTATTCGGTTATTTAGAAATATAATAATGATCAATTTACTTCTCTAACAGAAGACTGTTAGAGAAATGCCATGAATAAAATAAAACACAAATGCCATGAATAAAATAAAAAACAATGGAATTGATTCTGCATTATTTAATTTACGCAGAGGCACATACCATGGATATCCCGTGTAATGTATTATTTTACGGCTATTCGAAACACATCCTAAAATTGTAGGTTTGATTACTAATGGCCATGAACATATGATGACAAAATTTTATATTTCTTGAATCCAGTAGAATTTAAAAATCATAGCTCTATTTGGATCTTATTCCAGCATAAACACTATGCAAAGTTGAGAAAATAATCAGCTCTCAGACCAGGAGCTCCTCTGTCATGTCAGGATTTAATTTCAATCTGTTTGAAATCCAGTCCATTATTGTTGACAGACATCAGTTCAGGACTGGAACGGCATCCCTGACATTTGGTGGAAAGGAGCAATAGAATCAGCTAGATCCCAGATCAAGCTTTATTATATTGCACACAGCAGGATCTTAACTGCAACCTGACAACAAAAGTATGTGTTTCTCTAATCCAGGGATGGGAAACTCATGTTTATCAAGGGCCATATCAGCTTTATGGTGGCCTTCAAAGGGCTGTTGAATCTATGGACTGAGAACCCATGGATACAGAGGGAAAACTTTTTTTTACATGGTCTTTAGTTTTTTCCCAGTTTGGGTCCCTAGATATTGTGTGTGTGTGTGTCAGGAGAGACTTGAGAAGCTGCAAGTCATGTTTGGTGTGGGAGAATTGGCCGTCTGCAAGGACGTTGCCCAGGGGATGCTCAGATATTTTGATGTTTTACCATTCTTGTGGCAGGCTTCTCTCATGTCCCCACATGGGGAGCTAGAGCTGACAGAGGGAGCTCATCTATGATCTCCCTGGATTCGAACCTTCATCCTGTCAGTCTTCAGTCCTGCCGGCACAAGGGTTTAACCCATTGCACCACTGGGAGCTCCAAGTCCCTAGATATTATGGAATGACAACTCCCATCACTTTTGATTATCCACCATTTAATTATCCACTATGTTGATTGCAAACTAACAGTATTTGTGGCTCTGAGGTTGGAAAACAGTTAAAGACCGTTTACCACAAACCTGGTAACTAAACTCAAATCCAACTCTCCTAACTAAACAGAACAAACTGCAGCCTTCCAGATGTATCACAACTCCCATCAGCTCTAGTCATGATGTCTAATGATGAGGAATACAGTTGTAGTCCTGCATCTGGCGGGCAACACAAAATGACATGGCGGGTCTGTTAATTATACAATATAAGAAAAATAGTAATTATTCCTGATTCTAATTACTTTTTCTGTCTTACTAAATGTAGCACTATTTTATCAATTCAGTTTTGGTTTTGTCATTTTTTAAAAACAAATCACGACTTGTTCTTTGCCTTTATGTTTATTTCTGTTACTATCTGTAAATAAAATAAAATAAAATCTTACTTTCTAGTATTTGCATTGCCTTGCTATGTCAAAGATAGGTCTGTTTTCATATAAACAGATAAAATGTCAATACCTTTATGGTGTCCAGAGGATAACCAACTGCAGCACTAACTCCGCCTAAAAGAGATCATTGTTTTGGATATGTTAAATTAGTCTTAAGAACTTTGTTTTAAGAACTTTGGCAAAAGATTTTGAGATCACAGGAAAAAGAGAGGCTTAAAGTTAACAGATCAAATCTTGTCAAAAAAGGTCTATCCATGTGCCATTCTTCCCATTTCCAATCTATTGCTCTGAAACATGTGTTTTAGTAGACACAGATTGTTATCCATAGTGTTAAGAATACAATACTGTACCCCAGTACACAGTCTACAAAATGCAACCAAAATACCACCCAAATCTGAGGATTCCAAAAACATAATGCAAGTTGAGTATAGGGAGTATGCTTATATTCATTTAACACAAAAACTGGTGTAGCCAGATTCTGAAGAATGTGTGTATTAAGCTTATTGTTTACTCAGCTTGTAGCTATACAACTGAAACTAGGATGTCCACGCAAACATCATGAAAAGGATTATCTGAGAAAACAATGGCTTGTTATTCCCAATTGGGGCAAACTGGTTGTATCGATGGGATTTACTTATGTAATTATATTGATGGGATTTACTTATCACATTTACTCACCATTCAACAACTGATTCAGGTTCTAGCTACTTTCTGGAAACCACATCTCTTCATGTATGCTAACCTGAGTTTTAAGAACTTTGAGAAAGGATTTTCTCTCAGCCTACCTCACAGGTGAAAACATGGACACATTTGTCCGAACAACATCAGTGAATGGTCCAGATGGCAAAATATATTAATGAGGAAAATCAAACAACTTAGGAGATGTTGCAGGAGTTTGCTCTTGTATGAGTTTACAGGGAAAGGCATGATTCTCTTCCCGTCTCCTCCCTTCCCAGTAAATGGAGACAGGATTGACAGTGTAGCTACAAAACTATGGTGGTTACACATTCATAACTGCCCAATAGGTTTCAGGTCACAAACTATAATATAAGTAGACATATGCCTTACCAAAGTGAAAAGAACTTTGTATTGTCAAAGGCTTTCATTGCCAAAATCACTGGGTTGTTGTACGTTTTTCGGGCTGTATGGCCATGTTCCAGAAGCATTCTCTCCTGACATTTCACCTGCATCTATGGCAGACATCCTCGGTGATTGTGAGGTCCTTACAACCTCTGAGGATGCCGGCCATAGATGCAAGCAAAACGTCAGGTGAGAATGCTTCTGGAACATGGCTGTACAGTCCAAAAAACTTACAACAACCCACTGAAAAGAACTTTGGTTCCCTTAAACACAATCCCATAAGTATCAACCACAGTTGTTCAGAGAATGCTGTCAAGTAAAAAAATACTATACGATGGCATCAGTACAGTTGGTGTTACCTAGGGCTGTATCTCATGGTGTCACCTCCATGGACTTCTTACTTTACCAAACTGGTTCCTTGAGGACACAATATTAGCTGCAAAGAAAGATTTCTTTGCGGCATCTATTGCCATGGCATATGCCCTTAAATAGAGACATTACTGTCTTTGATCTGACTCGTCCCAGCTGGTATGTCGCACGCACTCTAGCCACCTCGGTAGGTGACCCTGTTGATGCCCTGGTCACTCCCTGGAATAGGGAGATGACTAGGGCAGTAGACACTATCGCTCCAGAGCATCTCCTCTCAAGTAGCAGAGCTAAACCATCTCCTTGGTTCACTGAGATAGCAATGAAGTGAATGAAGAGGGGGCTAGAGTGCATGTGGCATACCAGCTGGGATGAGTCAGATCAAACATGGCAATGTCTCTATTTAAGGGCATACACTACAGAAATAGACACAGCAAAGAAATCTTTCTTTGCAGCCAATATTGCGTTCACAAGGAACCAGTCTAGTAAAGTAACAACTCCATGGAGGTGACACCACGAGATACAGAACTAGGTAACAACAACTGCAGTGATCCCATCGCTTAGTATTTTTTAATTGTTGGCATTCTCTGAGCAACTGTGGTTGATATTTAAGGGACTGTGTTTAAAGACATTGCAAGAAGCTGCACTTTGTAAAATCACCAGAATCCACACTATGACATCACAAGAGGGTGTGTTGCCTTTAGGTTCTTAGATTTTGTCCCTGAAATCACAGGTTCTGGGGTCGTCCTGACCAAGCCACCCTCCTTGGCTTTCACCCTAGTCTACTGGCACATCCCTCTTGTTTCTTAGTGGCCTTGTCCTGTCAACATAGGGGCACTGAGTTTATAACTAGAAAGAGTGATGGGAGCACCTAGTCCCCATGTGCTTCAATTGACAAGAAGCCAAATCAACAACAACAAAGAGAGGTGCAAGATGCATCAAGTCTATCTCATCAGCAGAGCTCTTCTGGACATGAACTGACCTTTCTTAATGCATTGACAGTGACAGCAAAGATACAGCTTTTGACATTCTCTAGGGATTTCCACATGCCAGATATAGCAACCCACAGATGTTTATTGAGCCTAAAATAGTCTCATGGCTTGGAAGCTGAAAGCTACTGCTGCAACTGGAGAAGGAAAAACACACCACCACACTGTAAGCCTTCTTCAATTCCAATGAATCGACTGTCTCTTCTGTTAACAAGGAAATATCTGTGAATCATGATCTTAAGCTTGCTTAGCTCAAAATTATTCAACCTGCGAGCTATCTGGAGATGGGTGGAGGGGATGATAGGACAATGCTAACAAGTTGTGATGGAGCTTAAATTTCCACCTCAAGAAGTAAGACAACACACATACCCACAACATGATATGTCTCAAGAATTCAGCCACTCTGTTCTATCTGGTTCTATTTTCTCCTCTCTCTTCATATGTTTTCTAACAATTAGCCTTGTGACTATGGCAGTTCAGAAGTATGAGCCTCACCATTATCCTATGTTGCAAACTTGCAAACTTGCGAAGAGGTTAATTAGGATCGCTTAGTGCTGGTGGTCTTTGCTTCTTCCAGCACGCTGATATTTGTCTGCCTGTCTTCCGAAGAGATTTGCAGGATTTTTCAGAGGCAATGCTGATGGAATCATTCCAGGAGTTGCAATCCATTGTTGTTTATTATTTTTGATGAGATTTCAGCAATGACTAGAAAAGCATTTGCACAATTCCTGGAAATGCCAGAGCTGGCAATGGTAGTGCATACCTTGGTTACATCCTAGTTGGATTATTCTAATATGCTGTAAATGGAATCAGTGTGGCATAGCAGTTTGAATGCTGGACTACAACTGGAAAACAGGGCTTGAATCTTGACAGATGAAAGAACAAGAGAACCTTGTCTCACTCATACTATGATAGTGGGCCATAGAAGCCAGGAGATTATATCTTCAGAGTTATTCATTATATTCTTAAATATAAAGTGTCCTCAAAATGATTTGTTATTAAAATAGCAATACAGTGTACATTTTAGTTGCATACAGAAATAATATTGGAATTTCTGTTATATTTTCAAGATTTATCTGCCATAATCCATGAAAACCTTCTCAATTTTTTTGGTTCAGTCCTATACATTTCAACACAAAGGTTAGCCCAGTTGAGGTAAAAGGGCAATGTAAGGGTTTTCACTTTTAAATTGTTGTTTTTAATTATTAGGTGACCCAGGAAACCCTTTTAGGGTTGAAGAACAGAGTAAAGAAATAACAATAAGAACAGTTTCATCAAAATGTCTGGAGAATATTGCCTTCTTGAACATTTTCAAATTAACATCTATCTGTGCTGGCATTCACTATGACATTTTCTCTAGGGAAAAAGATACCCAGATCAAGTTCCAAGGTTGCAAAGCCACAGCTGATTCATAAAAGAACTCCTTTGTTATCATAGTTGCCAATTCACAATGGTCACTGCAACCTATTAGACTGGTAACTTATTTGTACATTGGGAAAGCATCCAAGCTCAGAATGCTTCAATTCTGAAATGGTAAAGTGAGATATTTGGATCCACCCATGTGGATCACAGTTGTGGAAAGAAGCTCTAACGCAGTACTTTCCAAACTCTGTGTTGCAAAATGTTAGTGTGTCAGCTGCAATCTGTAGGTGTGTCATGTGACTCTAATGAGAAACCTCTGAGTGCATGTGAAAAAAATCAATAAATTATAGATTTAAAATATATAAATGAAATCACTACTCAACTATGAGATTCATAATACAGGTTTGCTGCTAAGTTTAATGTACAGAAGAAGGTCATATATGCCACAATGAGCTCCTTGGATTAAAAAATGATGTAAATGTAGCAAACAGGAATTATATAGAATCCATAGGCTGGACCACTTTGTGAAGTTGCTGCAATTGAAAGGAGATGTTGACAAGCTAGAATGTGTCCAGAGGAAGATAACTAAAATGATCAAGGGTCTGGAGAACAAGTCTCAAAGAGCTGGGCATGTTTAGCCTGCAGAAGAGAAGGCTGAGAGGAGACATGATGAGGGCCATGTATCAAGATGTGAGGGAAAGTCTGAGGGAGGAGGGAGCAAGCTTGTTTTCTGCTGCCCTGGAGACTAGGATGTGGAACAATGGCTTCAAACTACAGGAAAGGAGATTCCACCTGAACATTAGGAAGAACTTCCTAACTGTGAGAGCTGTTCAGCAGTGGAACTCTCTGCCCTGGAGTGTAGTGGAGGATCCTTTGGAGGCTTTTAAACAGAGGCTGGATGGCCATCTGTTAGGGTGCTTTGAATGCGGTTTTCCTGCTTCTTGTCAGAGGGTTGGACTGGATGGCCCACAAAGTCTCTTCCAACTCTATGATTCTATGAGTTATTGTTTATTTATTTATTTACTTACTTCATTTATATACCGCTTTTCTCAGCCCTTGGACAACTCAGAATTGCTCTCGGCACACCTGCCATGTTTTCTTTACTTTCAGCATCACCACTACAAGCTTCCATAAGCTTATTTCTCCAGCTTCTCCAGGCTCTCAGTGTTGGTCTGTTCTTTTTTCCCCTCTGTGTGTATTTTACATATTAAACATCGGAGATATGCTTGCCAAGACATGGCAGAGAAATGCCCCAGCTGGAATCCTGTGCAGTAGTAACAATCCAGTGATAGAGAGAGATCTGCTACCAAGAATTATACAGCTCCAAATAGTATTATCTTTGCATAGGAAGAACTTGCATTGCCTTTTAGATGAATTCCTATTGTTTATGCCAGTATTCACTAAGAAGCCAATGGATTGGATGTGTTTGATTACAAATGCCAGGCCATAGCCATTCCATTTCTGCAGGGCAATGAGAGTTACCTTCTGGAGGGTGCCAAATTGTGAAAGCTTTAAAGTACGAATGCAATGTCAGCAAATACTCTAATCCTCACAGGGTCTTGAAGGCTACATATATTTCCCTTGGATCAGCTTCAGTTTATGACATAAGGTACTAATTTTAGCCTTCTCCCTCACTTGCTCACTTTCTGTGCAGAATTTGGAAATATCACCCTTTGGGATTCCAACTTTCCTGATCCCCCAACTGTGCTGGCTGGGATATTCTGGAAGTTAATTTCCCAAATAATAATAATAATAAATACTTTCTCTGAGCTCTATCTATGTGCAGGGCATTTTAATGTTCCAGGGAGTCCTATCTTCTGAATGGAATAGTTCCAGGAGCATAGCACCTTGTGGTTTTTCACCATGTCTATCATTTTATCACTGAGTCAACCAAGTCTAAACTTGCAATTTCTCAATGGAGAGACAGAGGAACCTGGAACACTCAGCTAAGAGCAACTGCCAGAAGACTGAGAAGATCTGGCACAGGTGAGTTTGCAGCATTCTCCACTATCAGCACCTGCCACATTCATCTAACCTTCTCTAGTAATGATGACAGCACATACATTTCTCTCGTAAGTTTGTCGTAATTGTAGCCACAGAATACCTTTGTCTTGTGCAATCTTACAAGTAACTAGATGAGGGTCTGGCCTCTTGCCAAATTATTTATACCAGAGCCAGACTTCACTGGAACAAGCCAGAATGAATCTCAGCAGTGAGCATTTGTTGAATGCACATTTGTATTGCATACACTTAGAAACCTAGTTCATGATGAAGCTGCAACCTAGCACTGAGAAATCCCAAACATAAATTCAGCTATAGCATCTAATATAAACCCCCAGTTCTCATATCTTATTTACTCTTTCCAAGTGCTTAATGTAGATGTGTATCTATTAAATACCTATGCTCAATCTGAGCTTTCTTTTTTCCCCTTCAAGGCATGAAACATGTATAGATACACCTGCACTGATTAGGTTTTTTTTTTTTTATCGTGTCAGGAGTTGCTCCTGTTGTGAGAGAATTGGCCGTCTGCAAGGACGTTGCCCAGGGGACGCCCAGATGATTTTTGATGTTTTTATCATCCTTGTGGGAGGCTTCTCTCATGTCCCCGCATGAGGAGCTGGAGCTGATAGAGGGAGCTCATCCGCCTCTCTCCGGATTCGAACCTGCGACCTATCAGTCTTCAGTCCTGCCGGCACAGGGCTTTAACCCACTGCACCACCGGGGGCTCCACTGATTATTGCTGTCTTTTGTAAAGGAAAACAATACAATTTGAGACCTGTCCCGAGTGGAACTCTATGGTGTCATTTGCTTTTGTGTCATATGTAGGTCCCTCCATTGGATAAGGGAGAAGAATGCCAAGGCATAATGAGCGATGCAGCTTGCATTCTGTTTGTGATCAATTGTGTCCCTGGGATAATTCCAAAATGAACTCATTCCGACAATCAGGAATCCTTGTTTGATTTCCACTGCTACAGCATGGCATGATAATCTATTATGAAATGGTCCATCTGTACCACAAAAGTCAAGACTGATCCATCAGAGGTTTACACAGCACTTGTTTATTATCCTAAGAATGTAAGATACAGGGTGGAGTTTTACAATGTACACTGTATTATAAAGTAGTGTACCTGAGGCCATAGCCTTGTTGCCCTACAATGTTGCAACTGAACAGCAATGTTCCTGTTGTTGTTGTTGTTGTTGTTGTATGCCTTCAAGTTATTTCTGGCCTATGATAACCCTACGGCAGAGGGTCAAGCTTGTGGTCCTCCAAATGTTTGGGCTTCCAACTCGCAGAAGCCCTAGTTAGCTTGTCCAATAGCCAGGAATTCTAGGAGCTGAAGTCCAAAACAACTGGAGTACCAAAGTTTGACACCACTGCCCTACGGCAAACCTATCACAGGATTTTCTTGGCAAAGTTTGTTCAAGGAGGGTTTGCCATTGCATTTCTCTCACTTTTTGCAATGAGGCTTTGCTGCTACCTCAAAATGCCAGGAACTGAGGAATACAATTATGTGTAAATAAAATAGTTAACAAATTAGAGAATGATTATTTCTGTACATATTTGGTGGCTCAATGGGTTAAACCCTTGTGAGGGCAGGACTACTGACTGACAGGTTGATGGTTTAAATCTGGGGAGAGCAGGTGAGCTCCCTCTGTCAGCTCCAGCTCCCCGTGCAGGAACATGAGAGAAGCCTTCCACAAGAATGGTAAAACATCAAACAACTGGGCATCCCCTAGGCAACATCCCTGCAGACAACCAATTCTCTCACACCAGAAACGACTTGCAGTTTCTCAATTTGCTCCTGACACACACAAAAAACTCTATCTTCGAGTGCATTCACACTGTAGAATTAATGCAGTTTTATGCCACTTTAACTGCTCAATGCTCTGGAATCCTGGGAGTTGTAATTTCACAACTTCTTTAATCTTATCTGCCAATCTTGTCAATGCTCATGATTCCAGAGCATTGAGCTGTGGCAATTAAAGGGGTGACAAATTGCAATAATTATACAGCGTAGAAGATGCACCCCCTGTCCCAAATTATATTTCACTTAAGGAATACCCATTTTTGGTAGTAGGATGTGCCTGAAAGGAAATAGCACAAAATAACAGTTGTCTCTCTTCATCAAGAAGCTGCTGGGTCACAAATTTATTTATTCATTTACCTCCAATGGCTCCTGCAATGAAATCCATCTGCAGGGAGCCAGCTGTTTTTGCCAGTCCTGAGATCAGAATGCTTGAGCCACACAGCCAGAGCCAGGGGAAAGGGAACACAACCTGTCTTTCCAGGAATAAGGAGCTCTTCTCTCTGAAAGGATTGAACAAACAGAGTCTCTGAAGATTGCAGCACTTGCTTTCTGCAGCTCTTTCTCTCCTTGATGATTGTGCTTCCAGTTGGCAAGATCGGGACGGGACTTTGAATCCAAGGATATTGTGAATGCATAACTTCTGAAGGCAATGCTGCATCACTGTAGAGAAATGAAACTTTGCCCCCGCCTCTTGCCATTTGTCCTACAAGTGCTGAAGGCAAAAGAATGTTAATGGCAGGGGTCAGATCTATGTTTCCAAAATGCTGTATTGTTGGGTTGTTTCATTTTCCCAAATCTTTTGGCTCAGCAAGAAGCAATGGAATGAGTGACTGGGGTCAAGCATCCACAGAAAATCAGATGTTAGAAGAAGGGACGTTGTTGATGCCTGCCCACAAGTCATTTATGGTGACCTTCAGGCAAAACTGTCATGGGTTTCAGGGGTTTCACACTGTCACTATGCTGGCTCTCTTTCCTTACAATGTCCTGGGTGCTGTTGTTGTTGTTGCTCTGTGGCCTCAAGTTAGAAATTCTGTGATTCAACAACTTGAAGGTAAAGGTAAAGATTTACCCTGAGATTAAGTCTACTCGTATGCGACTCTGGGAGGTGGTGCTCATCTCCATTTCTAAGGTGAAGAGCCAGTATTGTCCATAGATGTCTCCAAGATCATGTGACCAGCATGACTGCATACAGCACCGTTACCTTCCCACTGGAGTGGTACCTATTGATCTACTCACATTAGCATGTTTTTGAACTGCTAGGTTGGCAGAAACTGGAGTTAACAGTGGGAGCTCACCCCGCTCCCTGGACTCAAATGCTGACCTTTCAATCAGCAAGTTCATCAGCTCAGCAGTTTAACCCACTGCGGGTTTTCCCGGCAAGATCTGTTCAGAGGATGTTTGCCATTTGCTTTTTCTTAGGCTAAAATGTGTGTCTTGCCCAAAGTCATCCAGTGGGATTTCATGTCCGAGCAGGGATTCAAACTCTGGTCACCCAGAGTCCTAGTACATCACTGACTATTTCCTCCACAAATCATGCCCAGTGCACATTCTACTGACTATATATGATGTGGTTCATAGTCTAGCATAACTGAAATGTGTAAGAATGGGGCAAGAGTCCCTAAGAAAATAGTAGGAGTGTGACATGTGAATAAGAGCTGTTCTATGTAGAGCTCATTGTGCTTGGATCATGTTGCAAATCATTATGTAAGCTTGGTTAGAAGAAATGGGGGAAGCTACAGTGATAGAGTTATCCAGTAGCTTTCTCTAACTGCATATAATGCATAACTATGTCACTTATTAATAAGGCTGATCCGTTTCAGGTCTGTGTGATTCCACCAAGATTGCCAAATATAATTAGACTTCACTTGTGACATGCAGTCCTTCTTGGGTTCTTGTCAGAAGATGCATAGTCTGGCCAAATAGCCAGCTCAGAGGCTTTTTGAAGCCACATGTCTCTGAGGTACCTCTAGCCTCATGTACTTTGTTTCCTCCTGCTCTCCTGCCACGTGTAATTCACGCAAGCATTGAACATGTGAATGTAACTGTCATGTGGATCCTCAGGTGACTGTCTAATGCTGAGGCAAAGGAGCTTCACATGAACACCATTATGATCAGACTAAGGGTTAAGAGAGGCTACATCTGACTCCAAATCTGGGTGAGGTCATGGCTTTAGTTGGAAAGTAAAGGAAATGGAAGCTGGACCTTGAATGGATTCCAAATAAAATGGGCAAACTCAGTCATTATATAAAATAAATTATTTTAACCCAGACAGCTTGCTACCTTTATGTGTGATGGAGGATGTTGGCTTATTGCACATATGCATATTCATAACCTTATCAAAAAGGTAAAAATTATGTCACATCTGTTTGGCAAATGTGAATCTCCATGAACATAGAGACCACCCTTTTGAAAACCACTAGTCAAGAAAAACATGACCTTATTAGAAGTTGACTCTTTGAAAAAAGTGATATTCATAAGCATTCATGTAATGGAACACAGATAACTCAGCTGTTGAACTAAAGAACCAGGTCTTTAACCTGCCAAGGATAAAGACATGCCACTACAAAAATAAATTTAGTTAGCAGAGGATAGTTTTTTCTTTGAAGTAGAATTTGAGGTTGCAATTGCCCAAAAGATATACACTCCCTTGAAACCTCTTAGTTAAAATATGCAATCAAGAGAACAAAACAAAGTCTTCTTTAAACATAACATCTCAGGTTTAGTAACAAAATTCTTGTATATACAATTATACATGTCTACAAACAGTTAGCGGAGACTTGGAAGGTCGCTATTTCTAACAATATCAGCCTTATGGTTGCCTTCAAAGGGCTGTTGACTCCATGGACGGAGAATCTGTGGATACAGATGGCCAGCTATAATTTCTTTACATAGTGGTCAGTTCTCTTTAGCTTTTATCCTTTTGGGTCCCCTGATGTTATTGAATGACAATTCCCTTCACCTTTGATTATTCGCTGTGTAGGCTGGGGATTATGGGAATTGCAACCCAACAGCAAAGCAGAAAGGAAAAAAATTAGCATGCTTCACCATGCTGAAAAAGCACAGATCCATAAGTTTTGCTACCAAAATGGAAATTGTATGAAAATATGAGCCTGTTGAAAAAAGTCATCCCTGGATGCATTTTGGAAGAACATCAAGTGTATCCTGGAATATTCAAAATCTTTTTGTTTAGTTGTGTAAGGTTTATCTAATCCAGTTGTTTCATTTCACATGGGCATGCTGTTAGTTTTGAATAAAAAGTGTGTTGAAAAATGTTGAGCGACTCTTCTTTTCTGTGGTGTTAGAACCTATCCCTATTCTTTCCCTATTATTTCTATCTTTTGTGTCTAAGTTCCTGTTAAAGAAATAAAACCCAGGAATGCATCTGCTTCATTTACTGAGAAATACCGATACAGACAGTTCCCAAGTTACAAACAAGGTTTGTTCTTAAGTTGAATTTGTATGTAAGTCAAAACAGATACATTTTTAAGTGTATCTCTAGCCAAACACACACACACATACACACACACACACAAATGTGCAGTCTCCAAGTTACAAACATATGACTTACAAACAACTCATAGTTTAGAATAGGGTGAGACAACAGGAAGTGAGACAAATCTATCCCTTGGAAGGGAAATTTACTCCTGGAAGAGTTATCATGCGGAAAAGGTGTCTCTACTGAAGCTTTTTTCACCAATCCTTGTTTACACAACAACCCACATTTTTAAAAATCTAATTATCACAGGGACAGAAAGTGAGGTGGAATCTTGTTTTGTACAGACAGAAAAACAAACACCACAAGAGTTTTAACACTTCCCTGTGCTATCCAAAACTTGTGTGTGTGTATACACACTTACGCACATATGTGCCTGGAGTTACACTTAAGTTACAAACTCACAAACAAATTCAACTTAAGAACAAATCTAAAGGACCTATCTTGTTCGTAACTTGGGGACTATTGGAAATTCCATAACCTATTGAAAAGGTAAAAATGATGTCACATTCAGTTGGCAAATGTGAATCTCCATGAATATGTGGAGACCACCTTTTGAAAATCACTAGTCAAGAAAAGCATGACCTTGTTGAAGGGTCCCTCGTTGTTAGAAGTCAACTCTTAAAACAAGTGATATTCATAAGCATTTGTGTAATGACGCACAGGTAACTCAGCTGTTAAACTGAAGAACCATGTCTTTAAACTGCCAAGGAAAAAGACATGCCACTAGAAAAATATATTTGGTTAGCAGAGGATGGTTGTTTCTTTTAAGATGCAATCGTAATTGCAGTTGCCCAAAATATATATACTCCCTTAAAACCTCGTAGGTATAACATGCACTCAAGAGACAAAACAAAGTCTTCTCTACTAAAGTCCAAACAGCAACATGCATCCACCTCCACTGAGGTCTGATGCAAACCAAATACAAAATTGAGTCTTGTGTCACACCAAAGAGGTAAAGTCAAACCAGCAAACCAAAATGTGAATGCAATATAGGTTAACAATTATACACATTTACAAACTGTTATACACATTTACAAACTGTTAGTGGAGGCTTGGAAGCTTGCTATTTTCAACTTGGACTGTCTGTTGTCTCACGCCTGTTCTTAAGCATGAATGTTTGTAAGTCAGATGTTTGTAACTCGGGGACTGCCTGTACTCCATAATGTTTTAATTTTGTATTGTTCCAAATTCTATTTTTATCGTTGTGCCACTCTGAGATTTTATGCATGGTGGAAACATTGTAATAAATACAACAAACAAACAAACAAAGTTCAGCAGCTATAGTGCAATGACATATCCCCTAGATAAACTTTTAAAACAGAGGGCCAGGTCACAGTCCTTCAAACTGTTGGAGGGCCGGATTATAATTTGAAAAAAACAACAACACCATGAATGAATTCCTATGCACACTGCACATATTTTATTTGTAGTGCAAAAACCCTTTAAAACAATAGAATAATTAAAATGAAGAACAATTTTAACAAATATATACTTACGTATTTATATTTCAATGGGAAGTGTGGGCCTGCTTTTGGCTGATGAAATAGGACTGTTGTTGTTGTGTGCTTTTGAGTCATTTCAGACTTAGGTTGAGCCTGAACGAGGGCCGGGTTAATGACCTTGGAGGGCCATATCCGGTCCCCGGGCCTTAGTTTGAGGACCCCTGCCCTAGATATACAAACAGGTGCAAGCACACGCACACCAATCAACAGGCCTAGAAAACATATTACTTTCCACTATTCAGTCAATGATTGAACATCCAGTGATCTCAATTTGTTGCTTTCACAGAAAGGGGGTTAATATATGCAGAAGGGTAGGGAAATGCCTACAACACAACACCACAATAATGTGAGCACACACACTCACTCCAAGGCAATGGCTCCAGTAAAGCCAATTACCAGGCATTCTTACAGGAAACGGTGTTGATAATGAATTCTTCAATAACTGGGTATGGACAAGTGCTTGAGTCCTTGGTCAAATATGTGCAATGAACAGCACCCTCACCTACAATTATCTCTTGCCTCATGGAATGTAGTTACAATCTAGGAATTCCTGAAGAGACATGCTTTGTATGCTTGGTGGGAAAATGTGGGAAAATGTCCAAACCCAATGAAAATTCCACCTAACCTCACCCACTTTGCTTTGC